ATTGAGAAATTTGAAATTTTGTCTTTTGCTTCAATTATAGTAGTGATAGATAATTACATATAAATAGCTGTAAAAATTGATAAGAAGTAATTCTATTAATGATATATAAAAAAAAGAGTCTAAAAGCCTATAAAAGTAGAAAAGACAGAGAAGGAAAAAAAACCTTTGTCCCCTTTCAGGTCATTTAGCGAATAGCAATAAAATGCAGATGTATCAATGGATTGGTCTGTGCGTTCTATTGAAGATAAATAGAATTAGGTCTGTGTTCTGTATGCCCTATAATATAGGTAGTGTTAATGTTCCATTCATTTGCCGTTTAACTCATCATCAGAGCTGTCAAATCTTATAAATATGGTATTTATTTGTTGGGATGGTTATTTAATTGTCTTATCAAGGTGCCTAACAAAACCAAGACACCATATAATAGTAATTACAACATCCAACAGTACATGCCCCATTTATGTACCTATTCAAGTACAGTAATGTGCTTTTATTGCATACTTTTCATGACAGTTTCGTTCAACTAATAAATAATTAAACGTCATATTTATAATCAATTTATAATAATTGTAACCGACCACAATTTATGTTGTGAGTTTGCACTAATATTCTTGGTTTTGAGCAAATAAACATTGATTTACCTTATCAAAACTAGACCAAACGTTGTTAATTTGACAAGTTATATATAATAATATAAGCTCACGCATACAAATGTAGCTAATAAGACCAGCAATTTGCTGATGGTATATAAATTTTAACTGTTCGTACATGGCCCAGTAGCCCTAGTAGTTCTTTATGATAATATTAAATCAATTAATACTTTATCAGACGTTTTATTGGCAATGAGCAAATACTGAATATTCAAGATAATTTAATTTCTGTTCAAGGTAAAATAATGAACTTTCTAATATTAAGATTCTTTTATTGTTTTCCTATTGTTAGTCTTAGCTTTCAGTTTCACCAGCTAAAGCAAAAAAAACTTCTATATAAGGTTAATTAAGGTAATTGTATGTATCTAGTGTAAATTAAATGTAATAAATAACCATAAATTATTTTATATTTTATTGTGATTATTTTAAGAAAAATAAATATGTCATTTATATATAATATTTTATTTTTAACCTTTCCTATCCGCAGTACAGAACTGAAACAAAAAATATCATCAATATAAAAAAAAACATGGTGCGTGTAACCTTTACGCGCAGTTGAAGTAAAACTTCTTTAGCAAATATCGCAATTAAATTAAAACAAATCAATAATAATTAAATGAGGCATATGACAATCATATATTTATAGAATATCATTTAAGAAAGAAAATTATATAGCATTTGTCAGACAATAACAACGGTCACCATGGCAACTATTAGTCATAATAGCTTTTATTTAATTCGCCCCACACAGTAATAAATTTTTACTTTTATAAGTAATAATTATTATAAAATTAATAATAAAAAACATATAAAAACGTGTGTGTGTACTTATGAACGTACGTAAGAAGTTGTCCTACAGTTCCGAGAGTTAAAACTTTGTTTTAGGAAATTTCCTTCTCTTTGTGTATCTTTTTTTAGATATAAAAAATCTCAATTAGTTTTTGAGATATTTGCAATAAACTAAGCCCTCTTATGTATTTTTAGTTAATTTTGTATAACTTCAATTTTTGCAAGCGGAACTTGATTTTTCCCAAAAATCATCTACATGCCATTCCGAATCAAATGACACCTCGTTCATATTTTCATTCATTAGGTACATAATACATTACTTTCATAAAATAACTTTTACAAAAGTATATAAATCCGGAGGTTAATCGTATAAAGTTACGTGATAAGCAAAAGACGGCTTGACTCGACTATAAAGTACCTATAAAACGTTGCGTTCGCGCTTTCCTACAAACATTTCATAACTGCCGTCTGGGGACAAAACTTTTATTATCTACCCGCGCCGCGCCGCCGCGCTGTCCACAGTTACGCTTTTAAAACTTTTATTTCACTGTTAAGCAGTGTTTGCAAGCCTAGCGGCAACAAAACCAACAGTTTATTATTACCGTATTTTAAATTATGGCTTCCCTCTGAAGATCCGGGTTTGAGCATAAGAATTTATTTAAAATAAGTTTTATTGCTAATTTAAATACAAAATCTTTAAGCCTTATATAAAAATATTAGTAAACTTCTAAAATGTGATTTACCTACGGAGGTACTTAAAGTACAAAACTAGGTATATATTTTATTTTAGTAATTTTATTTTTTCATTCATTGCATAGATTATTTAAACAAAACCGAACATTAATCGCACAATTTAACCGTTAACTCTACGAGACGTAGAGCGTAAGTATTGCGTCAGTGTAGTAATCTGTTTATACCCATATACCGGCAAATACACAAAACAATCCATAGAACAGTCAGTTCTAGATAGATAGTTCATAAAGAAACAGTTAAACTCCATCGTTGCTGTAACTCGCTCACACTTTCCTGTTTTAATTTACAGCTGGATAGGCTCAAACGCTAAGTCTATTTCTTATTACAATTCAATATATAATTTAAAATGAATGAATAATTCTATCTTAGTACTATTTCCTACACCTAAAGGTTGCCTGGAAGAAATCGCTCTTTTAGCGATAAGGCCGCCTCTTGTACCTTCTCCTATATTTTGTATATTTTGTTATCTCTTTTTTGGGTGAACAATAAAGAGTTATTTATTTATTATTTATTTATTTATGAATGTTCGTATGTTTGTCCTCTATGCGTTCCTAAACTATTGATCCAATTGTAATGGTACTCTGGTGGATTTTTCTGTACTCTGTACACACCTGCGAAAGTTTCTGGCCCAAAAAAAAAAGAAAATTTCTTTGGACGTTTATCTTTTTAGCTTAGAGACGCACTCGAGCGAAACGAAGGTAAGCCACTAGTATGACATAAAAAAGCTAAAGAATTACAATTGTATTAAAAAAATTGACTTTAAGTTTACCTTTGGAACTGTCTAAAACGTGCTTTATATTTAACCAATAGAAAAATTACATTGAAATTCCAGATATCTTGCACACATAAATCAACCTAAAGTTTATCTCATCGCCTCAGCGACAAGGCCGTGAATCTTCGAAGTTTTTAACGATAGAAGTTCTTTCTTAAGCCGTTTAAAATTTCCGCTTGGATCTAGATCGTGATCAATCTACAGTTGGTGTAAGTCCACTTAGCCGATCCCGCCAGTAGTTTGCATAATACACCTTATCCTCTCGAATCTTCGCAGGCAAATTAGCTACTGTTTTATTCACTTCAAATGAGAATATAAAAGCTTCAGCCCTATGAAAATATACTTTAAATGTTGAAACGAGTGTATAACAGTTGAAACTTATCTTCGGCCACGCGTTTAATTATTACACATCTTATTACGTACTGGTTTAGACCCACCGCCGTTACTTTTTATGAAAAAATTTGCTAAAATTGCCTTTACAAAAAAAAGTTATTTATGAGATTTTATTCATATTGTAATTAAATTAAACATATTTTTTTTAATATGCATGGTAATGTGGAGTGTTGCTTCTCAGTACGTGTACGAAAATGTTATGTATGTCCGTAAAAATATACACGAATTTCCCAAGAAGTGTGACATCCATAACATTAATACTAGGAGCATACACAAACTTGTAACGCCTGTGACTCGTCTACACAGAGTCAGTTATTCTTTTTATGGACAATGTATACGCTTGTACAACAGGATCCCAAAAAATGTTGAAAAGGCTTCTATCGCCAAATTCAAAAAAATTGTTAAAGAACGTTTGTGTGCTAAAGGCTATTATACAATAAATGATTTTATAGAAGATGGCACACCTTGGGAATGAAATGATCGCCTCCAGGCTATTTCAACTTGATAGAAATAGTGTACATTATAATTTTACTTTAAAAAAAAAGATAAGTTAATTTTAGTCCCGCTGAGTTTCTTTCGCCAGTTCTTCTCAGGTCTGAGACTTCTTCTTTCCGAACTGGTAGTAGACTCATGATGTTCAGTAAAAAATTGTAATAATTTAATGCTGAATAAAATATTTTGAATTTGAACTAGAAAGTTATTGATTGGGGTAATGATTTAAAAACGCCTGTCTTAACTCCACGCCGCGGGCTATCAGTTCGATTCTGAACACGGTGGCTATTTGTATTAAACATACAGATGTTTGTGACTCACCTAATTATAAAAAAGGTAAAACACAAATTGAACACATAAATAAAAAAATTAAAACTTATATTTATGCAGTATATTACAACTAGACAGTATGTCTTCCTCTGGCCGAAGGTCTGTCGAAAACATACTCCCTGTGAAGTTAGACTGGAACTTTTGTCGCATCATGCAGAATCGAACTCCGTGGTCTCTCGATCTACTTAATGCTACATGTATAAAAAAAATCATAACACTTCCTTGTACACGAAGGAATAATGAATACTAAACTAATGAACTATTTCTAAAAAGGATTAATTACATTGGGGCAGTAAAGTTATACCTTATATGTTACTTTATAGGGCAGATGGTTTGTTTTCAATAGGTAATTATTAATAAAAACTGCCTCGGTGGTGTAGTGGCTAGCATGTACGGCTGGACACCTGGAGGTCCTGGGTTCGAGTCCCGGGTCGAGCCAAGTTTAGTTATTGAGTTTTCCTGTATAGTAAGACTCAGTAACAGCTCGGAGTTGGGAAGTTGGCGGTGTTTCACTCCCATGCCTCGGAAAACACGTAAAGCCGTCGGTCCTGCACCTTTACTCTCACTGGTCGTGTCTCGTGTCGTCCCACCGGAGTATGAGAGTGACAGGAATAGAGAGTGCACGTTGTGTCTGCGCTCTCCCTCACACGCGCTGCACTATAATATCTCCTGCGCAGTTGGCTAGTCTCAATGAGATCGGCCGCCGTGGCCGGAGTCGGTAGGAGAACATCATCATCATCATCATTAATTAAAAAAAATTGACCTTGGAAAAATGAATACACAAATAAATTTAAACGTATATTTTTATAATAATATAACTACACAGTATGTTTCCCCTTGGCCGAGGGTCTGTCGAACACCTGCTTCATGCCCCCCCTGCCGGCGGCGAGGCGCGCCGCCGCGCCCTCGTTGCTCCACGCGGAATCGAACTCCGTAGTATCTTGGTCCACTAAATGCGTGTACTTTGTTCTACCTGATCTTCCGAACTTCTTTACTTGCATCACCTGTTTATAAAATTTTATTTATTAGTAGGTTGTATTTATTAATATGGCAGCGGTGGTGTAGTAGTAGGTAGGGCTGAATTACATTTATTAATAATTTTCTTGTTAAATGTTATATTATAATATTTTACATTATTGAAAGGGTAGACTGAGGTCCGGCCACTGTACGAAGCCTGAATGGGCAAAATATCAAAATTAACAATTGCAGGGAACAACGTTATAACTCAATGTTATAGTAATTTTGAATAAAAACTTTATGGATCAGTAATTTTTCTTTTGAAATTAGCGCATAATGAGTTACAATATAGTGTACGGTAAATTACCAATATAAGGCTGAAAGCTCTATTACTATTAGCTCACAAACCTTTGGCAAAACAGTCTTATCGAAATGATCATCTAACGTAGGGCCAGAGAAGTCTTGTTTGAACACTTCGTCCTCCTTGTCCAAGTAGAATGCACCTCTGTAACAAGAAAATAATATTAAAATTATAAAAGATCATATCCACAAAAATAGATTAAAAAACTTCTTATCTTGTTTGTAAATTACATTACGATACGTGTGACTTAAGTTCATTATTGCATGGAGGGAGACTAAATGCCGTGCAATAATAGATCTACATACGAAAGGAATCTTGTATACAATTTTATATCTCGGGTGACATAAAAACGCCATTTTCCTAATGTCTAAGATCTGAAATTAAATTTTGATCAATTGCCAAAAATATTCGACAAATCATAATTATCATCGCGTTGCATTTATCAATCAGCTCACATTCCGTACTACATAGTAAATCACACATAAAAATTGTAATATTTATTGTAATTTTAATACCGAAAAGGAACAGAAACTTAGCCTATATTAGTAGAATTAATAATTTTATTTGCGTCCTTTAAGCGCATTAAAAATCTTGTTTTTAAAAATGTTTTTTTACTATTAATTTATGTAATTTTAGTTAACAAATCGTGGTGTGTTCACGAGTCATGGTGTGGGTACATTATTTAACTCAAATAACTCATAATTGAATGCGTATATAAAATTTCGTATCTGAACTATTAACCTGTAGCGGTATAAGTTATGTATACGCACTAATTATCTTTATTACTAGCGACTCGCCCTTGCTCCGCTCGGATTCGTCCATAGTTACGTTTTAAGGTTTAGTATAGATTTCTCATTCTCAGAGATGAGATATTTTCCCGCAGTAAAAAGTATCCTATATGTTGACCCGGATAACCAGCTATCATACCACATCAAAATCTTTCCTGTGGTTTTCTCGAGATGCGTTCCCAGACAGACAGGCAAACAGAAAAAACATTATAGATTCGGCCTCTATATCGATAATAATTACTATTTAAATAAAATTTTCCAAAAAATATTTAATGTACAGATTCGACTCATTTAGAATCTTATTATATGTAGATTAATTGAAACGATATATAAATCGTATGTAATCTATATAATGTAAGAGTAGTCATGTGTTATCATCCGCTCGTTAAACTTGTCTCCGTAACTCCAACTTTACAAACCGTGGAGGAGTTGCGTCGTCTTGAGCTCGAGTCAAGTTATCGTCGTTGGAACTGAACCAACGCGTAAAATTTCAATTCTGTTGGATAACAAGAAGTGGTTCTAATTGTCGTTGCAAGATCGCCACATACAAACATACCAAGTAAGAAACATTGCAAGCTAAATAAAAGCTTATAAAAATTATTAAAAAAAGACTACTTTTAATTATAGGTATGAATATAACATACCTGTGATAATACTTCTGTAGGAACTTATATTTCCCTTTGACAGACTTGTTAGTGACGAGCTTGGGATTGAGATGTCTTTCGGCGCGACGTTCTTCCTCCGTCATGTTCCTCATCCGCTCTATCGCCAATAACTCCTTTTCGACTCTGCAATAAAATATATATTTTTTAAATTTTGCTCTCTCTTTTCGTGCATATATAATCTCTCTGCTTCCATTTACAGGTAAAGAAAGCTATAAGCGGCTCTTATTCAGAGTTAAAATTAAGGCCTAAGAATGTATTGAACAATCATTACATAATATTATAAATTAAATTTGAGTTTGTATTTGTTTGGACTAATCTAAAAAAACTACTGTACTGAGACATTGTCTAGGAAGGCTATAACTAATTTTGTATTTAGATAAAGTTTTGCTTTTAAGTTTATCTATATAGGTCTTTTCTGAAAAAAAAACCTAATTTTTATATTTTTTCTAAAAAACACCGAGCGAAGTTAGGCCGCCCAGATACTACGAATTAACAAAGAACAAATATTGAAAACTATTTTTAGTATAAGCCATGCCAATAATAATGTAAAGGCATACTAAACATTTACAGTCCTTTAAAACGTAAAAGCCATTAAGCCATTGTTGCACTAACCCTGAGAACCTAATTTATGGTCTTATGATATATATACAAATTTTGATAATTATTTTTTTTGGATACCAGATACTTGCTACACTACATATATATAACTTTAAAGACATACATATTATAAATATATAAATTATAAACTCCCATGACTGAAGTACAAACAGTCGTGCTCATCACACAAATGTATGTCCCCAGCGGGACTCGAACCCGCGACCGCTGGCACAGCAAGTATGTAGGCAAGTAGATACCCTAGAAACTATATAAAGTGTAATATTTACACTATATTTATTCTTATAAATTAATGTTTAAATACTTACGCTTCTCGTTCCTCCTTATCACGTTTGATGCGTTTCATTTCACGTAATTTCCAAGCTTCGTATTCCAGTTCGTCGTTTTCATCATCTGTGCACACGTCGTTTATATTTCCCTCCTTGTTCTCTGACTATACGGAAAAAATATATATATAATATTAATACCTTCATAATATTAATATAAAGACTAACTTTTAACACATATCAAATTAGATATAAGAATAAATAAACATTAAATAATTAAAAATTAAATATGTGTGTAACATTGATGCCACAATAAAACAAAAACAAAAAACACTTTTTTAAAAGATTTTATAAAAAAAAATATCTAAAACCTAAATACATTTCGTGTAATTTTTCAAACTTTCTGGGGTTTTACATATTTTTTTAGTTACTATTGTTATTTGTTACAGTGAATCAGTTAAATACTAACGATATATTTTAATTGGTGAAGCTTTTACACGTTATTAACATTAATCTTTCCTTTCTATGTAACTTAGGAAATAAAAAAGGTCATTTATGTCTGGGACTCGGTATATACCCAATACATATTTATAACAAAAAATGTATATAATACACGTTATAAAAGTGATGTTTTAAATATATAAAACATTCGCGAACCAACAGTTTTTTAAATTAAAACTTTTTGTTTTTTTAAATTAAGAACTTTTTGTTCTAATCATAGAAACTATAAAATTAAATAAATTATATCCAATGTTTAATTAAACAAATTATTAAAATTATAAAAATTCTTCAAAATTAAATTAACAAATATTATACGGTACTTTGGTGCCACTTTGTATTTTTGAAAATCATTGTATAATTTTATGGTCATATGATATATAGAAATTTGGATATTTTTTTGGATACCAGGCACTTTATACAATACACATATACATATAACTTTAAAGACATACATATTACAATATAAACACCCATGGCTGAAGTACAAACAGTCGTGCTCATCACACAAATGAATGTCCCACGCGGAACTCGAACCCGCAACCGCTGGCACACCAAGTAGGTAAGCAAGTAGGTAGGCAAGTAGATATCCTATATATAATGTACTTTACGATGTCTAAAACTTTAGTCTCTCCGTGACCAAGATCGATATAAATTATAAAGCATTCGAAACGTCAGGAATCAAAAATGAAAATTCATCCACTAAAAATCCGCCAATACTATTATATTTTAAAATTCGCGAATAAAGTCACGTATTATGTTACTCGCGCATTCAAACAACCACTTTAATAATAATAAATGGAGTAAATATATAAATAATCGGTATAGAAGATTAACAATAAATAAATAAATAAATATTCCCCGCGATGACGTAATATAGTACAATACATTTCGCAGCAGCGTCGAGTGCCGAGGAGTCACTATGTGTAACTCAGCTCAGAGCCGGTTCAAATATTCAGTTCACAGTAGCTAGAGCCGTTGAGCTGCGGCTCAGTTGCTAGATAATCGGTTCACAGCTCAATATTACTTAATATGGCTCCGTGCATCACTTCAGCGCCACCTAACGTCAGCTATTTCGATGAACCCGAGCCGACGGACCTGTACTATAGTCTATGTCCTTTTCTGTCTGTATTTAATGATAATCGGGATTCAGGTGAATAGTTAAGGCGTGAAAGCGTAACAAACAAACAAACTCACTAGCATTTATAATAATTGCATGAAATTAGCATTCCCCTATAATTGTGTAAGAACGAAAAAATATGACTATCATAACTTTTTTCGAAATGCTGCTTTATTACATACAAATATAATTTAGGTACATCATACATGTCATTTGTTTGAACAGAGTCATAAATTAGCTGTAAATCTATAGTTATAAGTACCCATATAACATCAGTTGAGCTGAACTGTGAGCCGGTTCACAGCTCCGGTTCAAGCATATGACTCATGAGCTGACCTGCAGCTCATAAAAATTCATTGAGTTACCCATGTCTACCGAGGAGTATATTTATCTCTTTCTATCATGTATATCATCTTTTCTTATGCACACATCAGTCAGTCAGTTACAATATGCTTAATTAATAAAATAACTAATATGGAATAGAAATTAGTAGCCCACAATATTTACTTTTAACTTATTTTTTAATTCAATATTTTACTTTCTACATGTGTATTATATATTAAACTAGCATTGCCCGCGGCTCCGCCCGCGTTCAGATGACCAAAAACTAAATTCTTAGGTGTTACATATTAGTATACTCTTACATTGCAGTTTTTGTATTTTTCCTCAGAAATAAGATATTTTCCCGCGGTAAAAAGTATCCTAGGATCGCGCGCTACATCGCCCGGTTTATATAGCTTGAGCAGGCGGTCGAGCGATGCGGGGCAGAGGGGATGGACTCGCCGTAGGCATCTCAATGCTCGCCAAGCATTAAAAATGTTTCGCTACTAATTACTTCTAACAACGATATCTCAAAAACTATTCATCTGATTGATTTAGTGTAAAGAGCAATTTTAATCTGCATTAAATGACTAAGCTAACTAAAATATTCATTTGGATAAGGATTAATACCGAACTAAAGAAAATAACTTTGAAAATAACGTAATGTTTTTAATTAAAAATGTTAACATAAAAGTGGTTATTGTAAGTCAACCGTAAGAGATAGAGATATGCTATCGCGGACTTTTTTGTAGCATTTTTATAGATTTTGAATTCTCTAGTACATTACTTAACTGTATCTTTGCTAGTTTACGCGGCGTTCGCGTGGAAAGTTCCCATTTGGCGAGATTTTTTGCGACCTCTTCAACATTTGTCGCCGTATTTCAGCTAATTTACATAAAAGCATAATAAATTATATACCTAAACCTTCCTCAAGAATTACTCTTTCTATTGTTGAAAACCGTATAAAAATCCGTTCAGTAGTTTTCGAGTTTATCGCGTACAGACAGACAGGAGGACAGAAAGACGCGGCCGGGGGACTTATTTTTATAATAAGTATAGATATTATAAAAGTGTAAGTTTGTGAGTACGTGTGGATGCTTGTTACTATTTCACACCAGAACGGCTGAACGGATCTGGATGAAAGGCACAGAGATAGATTATAGTCTGGAATAAGACAAAAGCGAAAACGAGCGAAGCGGGGGTGAACCGCTAGTATATTATACAAATAAATATTAAAATCACCTCTAACTAAAATAATAGTATTCTTAAATCATAACATATATACAAACAAACCTGTGCATTCCTTTGTTCTGAACGAATAGTCTCTTCGACTAATTTTAAAGCTTCTCTTCTCCTTTCTTCTTTCTCTTTTCTCGCTTCAGATTCTTCTTTCTTCTGTTGTTTCACTTTACGTTCTCTTTCAGCTACTGTCATTCTATCAGATGCCCTCACAAATACGGGTTTCACCCTTGGTCCTATAACATACAAAACGTTAGTTATTATATTTGTCGGAGACGAGTCATAATCACAACTAATCGGAACGCGAGCGCCACCTCTTTGGGCTCGACAGAGTCTACGTCGTGACACTCGACCGGGCTCGGCGGAGTTACGCTTGGTTGCGCAGTGAACACTAGTAGAAACTGTCTTGCGTTCCGTATTGTCTATACGTGGTAATAGTGAAGTGAAGTGCTTGCTATATGGTTGTGTAGTGAAGTGCTGTGTAACTATGTACAAAGTGATTATTGTTAATTTGAAATACAACTGTGATTGCATCGACTTTCATTTGAACCAACACTTCCCATATAACGCCCACTGTATAAGTCATGATAAAATAATGGAAAATAATAGAGAAAATTAATGTTGCTTCGATATATTAGTGTACATCCAAAAATCAGTTTATTATAATAAAACACATTTGACACTTGTTATAGCATTATCAATAATAAATAAGATAAATAGTGGAACATAAACTTAATAACATAAAATTTTAAAAATGCACTAACCATGCTAAAGTGTGAATGTGTTTGTTTGTTTGTTTGTCCTTCTTTCACATCAAAACAGAATGACGGATTGACGTGATTTTTTGTGTGGAGATAGTTGGAGGGTTGGAGAGTGACATAGGCTTTTACCGCGAGAAATAATCTCATTCCCACGGGAAAACACATTATAATGCAACCCAAAAAATATTTGTGATCAGAATTACTCGAAACTTGGTATTAATGCTCTTCAATACAATTAAATAAATAAGTGTTTTAGCAGTTTTCGAAATTCATCCCATAAGGGAATAAAATCTACTTTTTTAGTTTTTTTTAATAGTTTTAGCGCGAGCCAAGCGGCAGGTTCTGCTAATAGATTATTAATTTGATATATTTTTCTAAGCTCTTGAGAACATAGAAACATTGTAATGTAAAAATTGAACTACATGATATAGAAGAAAAGATAATAGGTAGAGAAATTGCAAAATTTTTTATAGCTAACAAAGAATTACCCGTATCTTCTTCACTGTCTGTGTATTCCGTGTCAGAAGATCCACTTTCCTCTTTATCTCCATCCAACATTTCTTCATCATCATCTCTACCTAATACTTCCTTTTCAGCTTCCCTATAAATATAATATATTATTACTACAAATATCCAGACTTCCAAATCATATATAAAATATGTGAATGTACTCGTAAATCTGTCTGTTACGTTTTCAACGCCTAATCCACCGAACCAATTTTCATGAATTTTGGCATAAAAATAGATGAGGATAGGCCTTGGAGAAGGACATAGAGTATTTTTTGTCACGAAAATAAAACAAAGGGGGTGAAATAGGGGTTAAAAATTTATATGGGAAACCAGCCACCTAAAGTTCACTCACAATAACTATTTTTACTTATCTATTTAAAACTTACCTGATATAGATACGAGTGAAGTATTTTATAAATAAGCAATTACTGTTTATTAGCAAACTAGCAACTCACCCTTGCTTCTCTCAGGTTCGTCCCTAGGTTGATTCCCCATACAAATGTTCATCCCCATTTTCACCCCCTTAAAGAGATAATTTCAGGTGTAAAAAATGTCCTTCACAGGGTTTCAAACTATCTTCTTACCCAATTTCATCTTAATCGGTCCAGTAGTTTCTGAGTTTATTCGTTACAAACATACAGAAATACAAATCTTTCCTATTTATAATAAAGTGTAGAAAGGTAGATTAATTTAATAGTACATTTGTGTTGGATTTTTCCGAACAAATGGCTACCAATTTCCATAGGATGTTGGGTATTTTAAATATGACCTTAATTTAGAACCATTTTGTAAGTTACGAGTTTTTTTTAAATCATAATAATTAATAAGAACTACTACTGTTATTACTACAATATGAAAAAATAACCAAATCTAAATATAGTCTTAACAACTAACAACCACAGTTGATTTAAAAATATCATATCCTGACCTGCTCCCATATAGTTACAAAAGGGAATCCCTCTCATTATTTACATACATCTAAATATACAGTTCTTCAATTAATCTATTTAATATTTATATAGTTTTGTCACCTAGCTGCTAGTTTAGCTTTAACAGCCTGCCGACGTCTTTCAATTTCCTCCTCATCCAGTTCATCCTCACTCTCTGAACTGTGTCGAGCTTCATCTTCACTTGATTCTGATTCTTGTTCGGGTTCAGCATCAATTATCTCAGGTTTGTGTTCTGCACGACGTGGGGGCGAATGTGCGGCGACCCTCAAACGACGTAGACGTGGATCATCTATCTATAAAATCATAATTCAATTAAATTTTCTTGTTCAATTCTTATGTTCAATGGCATCTAGGAGTGCCGTTTGGGCCGGTATAAAATAGAACAAAAGACAATAAATTTTCTTTTTGAGTTCAACTTTCCAGTTGAGCTATATTACATAGTTTTTCAGTTTAAAACGTGACACGGGCAGTCTTTTGTGTACTAGAAATAGACTCTTTTAGACAGTTTTTAAATTCATACAGTTTTTTTGGGAGAAGACGAGAATCTCTCAAGCTAGAGACGTTGGAAACAGAAAATGAAGATTGTAATGTTTGGGATTACTGGTACTACTAAGAATACTTGGCAGTACAAATATGTGTTAAGATAATATGTAAAATATATTATAATACAATTATAGAGCTGCTATATAATGGTGCAATTAATATTTATTTATTTATTTATTTATATGAGTAAAATTTATGAGAGTTTATAGATCTATTAATTATAAAGTACAATTAAATAATATATTAAATAAGTAATGTCTTTTTTTAATATTATTCATACAGATAAAGTACTGTTATCATGTGCTTCATAATGTCATGAAAGATTCCTTCGTCTCTTCAAACTATACATATAAAGTTGTGGAATCACAGTGCGCAACTGCTTATGTTCGGCACAAAGGTGTGACCACTGTCGAGATTAAAGCATTGTTTTTTGGTTAAGACTCAATATAAAATTAGCATTACTTCTTATTACAAAAAAAAAATGATATTAATTATGTGAAAATATTGTATTCAAAAGCATAGTCTTCACATTCCACAATAATTTAAACATCTCAGAGCTTAATGGCTCACTTTACAGCCTCTTTTTATTTATTTGTTAATAGGTACATCTGATAATATAAATGTGAAAGTAGAAAGAAAATGTGAAAGTTTGTGAGGATGTATGGATGCCTGGGTGTATAGATGTATGGATGTTTGTTACTCTTTCACACAAAAACTACTGAAAGGATTTTAATCAGACTTAACAATAATATAGCTCACGCATCAGAATAAAACATAGGCTACTTAATCCCAGAAAAATGGATGGTTCCCATGGGATAATTAGTTTTTGTTTTTCTAGAGGCGAATATGAGTGAAGCGAGGGTGAGCCACTCCTACCATAATATTAGTTTTAAAACTAGTCATTAACTTAAACTTATATTTTTACTTCTGTATCAGATTCGCTGTGTAGTTCATCTTTCCGGCTGACAATTTGTGCTATTTGATGTTTTCGTTCAGGTCTCTGTTGCTCTATAAAATCTTCAGTGTCTGATTCTTCAGAAGATGACACACCTTGAGCATATTCTGGTTTTTTTCCTGATATATATCTTTGCACTTTAACCTTTTGCATAGAAATTTCACCTGAAAGAATAAGGATAATACAACTATTGAGGATACCACAGCATTTTCAAATACACTATTGTATTTATGTTCAATAATAAATATTCAAAGAAAATTACTTTATACTTAACCTTTAAAACTAAATATTACAAGTATATGATTACGTTTTAACTTATTTAACTTTTATATCGTAATGAACCTATTTACCTTTTTCATTACGAACAGGCACTGCTCCAGCCGTACTCTGAATTCCAATTGGTTGAGCTGGTAGTTGATTCATTTTGAATTATAATATTGAGTTCGGAGTTTCAAAATATTTATTAAATTTTACACACTGTATCCTACGAGATGATGATAAAGTGTAGTCAAATAAAAATGTTAAACTGTAAAAAAATATTATACTCAGCCAAAGGCAAATTTACATTTGTTATGATAACATTGTCTTTATAGCAACATCTGATCATGACAAATACAATCCTTAATGATATATTTCAATTTTTACTATGTTTATAAATCCAAGAGGCCCATCACCCAAGTCAATGTAGCCACAGGCACAGATACATAATTTAAATAGACTTTTATTTGTCAATTGTCATCCATGATATGGATATAGATTATAAGGAAACACAGCTTAAAATCACCTATAGGGCTTAACTCTATAGGGAAGAATTTTGCCATTTTCTGCCGCCACATGTCGCAATCATTATAGTCCTCAGTATATTGTAAAGTTCTATAGCATGGATGTTTTTATTTTATTTTATCTAAAATTTAATCAAAATGACAAACTGTGCAGTTCCAGGATGCAAATAAAATGCATATCATTTATTCCAAAAGACAACTGAAGAAATTGTGGGCTAAAGCAATAAGATGACCAAAATTAGCCAAATCACAATCTTTATATTTAAGGCTGTGGGGACATCATTTCAGAGAAAGTGATTTTAAAACTGTTAAATCGTCTACGGTGAATATTTTTTTTTAATTTTTATACTTTTTTATTTTTAACAACTATTAGAACTTTTACAGATATATTATAAACTACCATATTTGTTTAAATTGCAGGTTTTAATTTAAAGAAGAATGCGGTGCCGTCTGTTTTCCCTTAGTCCAAGTTTTTATCACCTTAATATGCAGTTGCAAGGGAAAAACGACTACGAAATAGAAATCTGAATCTCTATTTAAAAAAATCTGAATACAAAAATTAAATCAAAATCTCTATATTGTTTCATTTTTCATTTTAAGGGCAAATACCACTTTCTGTGAATTAATTACTGTTTTATATAAACTTTCATCGACATTAAATTTTGAAAAATGCTAAAACACATATTTATTTAATTCTATTGAAGAGCATTAATACCAAATTTCTAAATAATTCTTTGTCCATATAAACAGTATTATCCCCTTTTACCCCTTTAAGGGATAAATTTCATAAAAATCTAATTAATATATTTCTTATTTTTTATCTTAAAGCTAAACACCATTTTCTATGTATTTCACATTAAGAATGACAGAGTTTCATACAATCTTTAATCCCCTTATATAACCCTAGAGGATGAATTTCAAAAAATATTTTATTATCGGATGCCTACATCATAAAAGGAATACGTCCTCCAAACACGTTTCTCCGACCAGCAGTTTAGGCTGTGTTGACCCATCAGTAAGTCAAGACCACCACAGGATGCAGCTCTCCTTCTCAATTCTTCCTTCAGCTGGTCTAACTTCCAAGCACAAGATATTGTACATTTGTAAGATGCGAACACAATAGAAGCAAACAGCCAGGTACAAACGAGATGTCGTAATAAATTGCTTAACCTGTTAATTGAATATATAATTGAATATATAATTATTGTACAATAAACAGCACTTTATTCTTTAGAAATCTTTTTCGAACATTAGTATTTTCTGTTAATCCATATAAAACATGAATAAATTACTTAAAAATAACTATTTTCGACTATTCTGCTCATGCTTGGTGCCGGCGGAATAAACCGGGTATTTTGAGGTTTATTGATCGGGTAAATCATCGACCGTTATCTGGCAGCCTTGCTTATCAGATAACGGTTACCACTTTCCGAGAAAGTGATTTGCAGTTTGCACAGAGTAGTTTGTGGAAAAAAGTCTCAGTTTATAATAGTTCTACGATAATACTAGTCTATGGGAGAAAGGTAACTACTAGCAGATTGAAGGTTCCCCAAAGGTTCGTTTAGAAGTTGTACGAGTATATGTATTTATAATATTATTCAATAAAATTATGTGATATCATTTTGAATATTATCAAAAACGAACGAACTTTAGGTCATATACGCACGTCATAACATATCTTAACAAGCAGTAAGCACAGTAAATCTAAATGATAAGTTATCGAAAGCTTTGTTTAAAAACTTAATATTTGAACAAACAAGACGTTTTCGTTGTTAACTGTTAATAATAATAAAAGACGCAATAATTTGTATATCGCCATATTGTTAATAGGTTATTTAATTCTAGTTTTATTTTCAGATTCAATTAATATTTAATATCATGGCGGCCCTTGAAGAAATTCGCAGCTTAGATGATTTAGTAGTTAAACACCTAGAAGGTGAAGAGTTAGAAGAGTTTAATAGAATTTATTACGGAAGAAAGAGTCACCATTCATTGGATCTTAAAAAATCAAATATTATTAATGCTTACAATAATAACTTTGAAATTGCAGCCTATGATTTCCCAGCACAAAAAGAAGAAACCAGAAAATCACGCATAGTTAAAGTAGGCATAATCCAACATTCTATTGCATTGTCTACAGATAAACCTATTATACAACAGAGGCAAGCTATTTTTGATAAAGTTAAAAAAATAATTATTACTGCAGCCAATGAAGATGTTAACATAATATGTTTACAAGAAGCATGGAGTATGCCTTTTGCTTTTTGCACAAGAGAAAAGCAACCGTGGTGTGAATTTGCTGAGTCTGCTTCTGATGGACCAAGTACAAACTTTTTAAAAGAGCTTGCTGCTGAATTTAACATGGTCATTATTTCACCAATTTTAGAAAGAGATGAATGTCATGGTGATACAATATGGAACACAGCAGTAGTTATAAATGAATTGGGAAAAGTCATTGGAAAACACAGAAAGAATCATATACCCAGGGTTGGAGATTTTAATGAATCAACTTATTATTTTGAGGGCAATACAGGCCATCCTGTATTTGTGACAAAATATGGTAAAATAGGTATAAATATTTGTTATGGTAGACATCATCCTCTCAACTGGTTAATGTTTGGGATAAATGGGGCCGAAATTGTCTTTAACCCATCTGCTACTGTATCAGGACTGAGTGAACATTTATGGGCTGTTGAAGCTCGAAATGCAGCTATTGCAAACAGCTATTTTACTTGTGCAATAAATAGAGTTGGGACGGAGAAATTCCCGAATGAATTTACATCTGGAGATGGCAAACCTGCTCATAATGAATTTGGGCACTTCTATGGATCTAGTTATGTCACTGCACCTGATGGTTGTAGAACCCCAGGTTTATCAAGAATTCATGATGGTCTACTCATAGCACAGCTGGATTTGAACCTTTGCCGTCAAATAAAAGATAAATGGGGATTTACAATGACTCAAAGATTAGATCTATATTCTAACAGCTTAAATAAAGCTGTCCAACCAAACTATGAGTGTCAGATAATTAAGTAATATTGTTTTAATAAAATGTTTACGCCATTCTAATAACTATGGATAATGTACTTTTATAAACTTCAAATATTTAACATATCAATTTTTATTCCTTAAGGACTTGTTGTTTTTTTATTTTATCTCTTTTAATGTTATAAAATAATTGTTTACATTTATATTTGTTAATAAATTTTATCTTTACTATTACAAAAGCTGATTTTATATTTTTATTTAAACTGGAATATTACCCTATACACATTAAATTTTTATAAAGATTATAAATGGAGTATGAATGATTGCATAAAATATAAAATAGAATATATTGCCTACATACACAGGTGCTTGCACAACATTCGTGTCATCATAAGTATGGGGTATTTTTGAACTTTCAAATTGCAATAATGAAAGGTAATGAAATAAAAGAAGTGTTTAAAAACATTGTGTACCAATGAGAATAATACAGTAGTGAGCTATACATAAATATATGGTAGTTTTTATAAGGTACATTCAGAATTTCAATTAGTTGTTCCGGCAACTATTTGCAGAGAGCATGATTTTTCAAATTACATAGTATTTTAATAAAACCATGATCTCAATTTTAAAATTACACTATATATTAGATATGAATGTTTTATCATAATTTCATAAATTTGTCATTCATGTAAACATAATGCGAGTTCCAAAACTTGCCATATATTTTATATAAAAAATTAAGTCAGCACCAGATCTACAGCAGCAATAAATATGTGAAATACAAAATATTATTTTGGAGAAAAGGAAATTGACTGAATGTACCCTAGTGTGCCAATCATAAAATTGATTATAACTAAGCACTAACAATCTATGCAGTCTTTGCACGCATGGCAGCTCTCTTGCCAGTAACAGCCTGAAATCCTGATTTGATACTTGCAACAGAGCAGCGGGAACCACAAGTTTCACATTGAAGGAAGAATAATCTGGTATCTTTCTGTAATATAGTGTCAGGAGAACGACAAGTATGACATGTTACATATTCCTTTATATATCGACGCAAAACATTTTCTATTTGTTTTTGCTGGAAACGACCTTTGATAATGAGTTGACTGTTACCATCTACAGAACCACTTGTACCCAATTCAGCAAGTAAAAAGTCTAGTAAATGTTTAGGCTGGCGATGAAGTGTTTTACAAATCTCTGTAAAGTTTGCAAAAGATGTTTTCTTTGTACCAATTCTTACTACTTGAGGTGGCCTCATAATAAACTTTTGTTTTTTACCAGACACCATACTAGGATTTTTTTCTCTCATAATATCAAATACACGTTCTAGTAACTCATCATATGTGTAATCGCGATCACTACCAATCCAATCCCCGTGCTGATCTTCCTCTTTATCTTGATCTTCCCCCTTAACATCATCTTCAATCGCAAATTCATCAATGTTTTTCTTCTTTTTCTTCTTCTTGGTCAAAGAGAAGTCTATGTCTAAATCTAAGTCGTCAATTACCTCCTCTTCCTGAGGTTCAGGTTCTTCTACAGGAGTATTTTCATTCTGGGGCACTTCAGGAAGAGCATTTTCCATCTCTTGCAAGTTGAAAAACCTCTTTTTAGTTTTCTTCTTCTTTTTACCGAAATTGTCCAAGTCGAGGTTGTCATCTTCGGGTATGTCTACGTCACCGGACTCAGCAGGCGCTTCCACACTCGTGGTTTCGCCTTGATCACCAGCAAGCGCAGCGTCTATATCAAAACCAGTCTTCTTTTTCTTTTTTTTCTTTAAAGATGGATCAAAAATCATATCTTCTTCCATGATTTTATCTTTTAGTTAAAATAAGATTTATGATTGAAAGTTGAAACTTGGTTAGAGTGCAGATCAGATAGAGAAATTTGGCATGTACAAACACAGAGTATAGAAAAGTCAGAAATATCTGCGCTAGGCACTGGGCGGCCGGTTACGTATTTATTGTTGCCAGTAACATGTTAGCAAAAATCTATTAGGAACAATTCAGTTAATACGCTATATGTAACACCAAGAATTATATTTCTAGTATAACAATTTACTTATTATTGTTATACAATATTCAATTTCCTCATTACCGCATCCGCATTCTGTAAACACCATAATCATTATTCACTATTTTATTCACTACAATATTTAAATAGCAACACCTTTATAATAAAACACTAGAATCCAGACAAATAACTTTTAAGGTAAAACTTTTACTACCTACTTTTAATTTAATCGTATGATGCAATAACATATTATTCTGATTTAACGAGTACGTATCACATAACTAAGTAAAAGTGATGCAATAATTATTTAGATTATTTATAATGTTTAGTAATAATACTGGACGCTTATTCATAATTTAGTGTATATGAAAACATAGCTGTTTTCATATATATTTTATAATCATCACTAAATATATGTTCTATTTTTAAAAATAAGTAAAGCCTAATTATGTTATTGTAATTCATTTACAGGAAATCTAAATCTTAAACATATTATTTTATTTAAATTTTAAATTACTATAAATACTGATGTACATTTATATAACATTATCGAGGATTCCGGGATAAAAACTCTCCTATATCCTTCTCAGGGTCTCAAACTATCTTCTTACCAAATTTCATCTAAATTGGTTCAGTGGTTTCGAAGCTTATTCGATACAAACCAACAAAAAATACATTTTTTCCTATAAGAATATTAAAATTTAGAATAGATAAGAACAATACAAAAAACTTTACTGTGTAATTCATTCAAGCCATGTTAATCTGTGATATATTAAAATATTTTTATTATACTCTGTATACTATTTTATCTGTAATGAAAAAAAGTAAAAACATAACCTTAAATTTAAGAATTATTTGAAGCACTTAAATGTTTATAATTTTTTAGACTTAAGAAAAGTGCAAAGGCGCGGCAAAATGTTATTACGCGCTCATCGTACATTTCCTAATTTTAGGAAATCGGTATCACGAACATTCGCACAAGCCTTACAAGCAGAGGAAAATGAATATACAGATACTCCAGTATATCCCCCTATATTAGACATGAGTCTTCAAGGTAGAAAATTACGAGAACGAGAAGCATTGCATCAAAATATACAAAAAATAAATACAGTAGAAGAAAAACAGATTGCTTTAAATATGCCGAGATATTATGGCTGGCAATCTGTTGTGTTAAATGAAAATAAAATACCGTATAATGCAATGCCCTTAGTACAGTATTATACACGAACTCATTTCAAACAGATAGAAAAACTCCCTGATTTATATACTGGTTTATCTTCCATGTCTGATACTGTTGTGCAAGAAATAAAGACTTATATTGAAGATTCTATTGCAATAGAAAAGGAAGGAGTAGAGTATGTACTTTTTCTATTATACATGTTGATCTTCGTCTTGCACAGCTTTTTTCGCACTTAGGCAATATTACCCGTTGTGTGTGAGTTTGTGTTATTCTTTCCACCTCAGGGCGTCCCAGTAGTCTAGCAGGCTGCCGATGTCTTAAAATATTTCCGGAAGTGATCTCCTGGGGCTTAGTTTTTCTGTACGTAGGTGTTTTAGTTCACTGCATTGAAGCAGAATGTGGGCTGGTATTTCATCCCCTGTAAGGCACGTTCGGCACAGGGGGCTGTTTGTGATACCTACATTGAAAATAATTATGTTTATTGAGATAGCAGTGCATATGTGTTGATTATAATAATTGTTATTCTATGTTTGTGTAAAATAAATTATGTATATTTAACTTATGTTACTCCAGGACATAATCTCCCTGTGCACTAATGTACTCTACCTGTGTTCATCCAAATAATTTAAATTGCTGCAAAATGAATAGATATGAAGTGTCTTTAGAATTTTAATATGATTTACATGCACAAAGTTTTATTTATGAATATGATCCTATTTTGACGGGAAATAAAGTAACCAGTTAAAATAATTTGTTTATTGGTTTTATACATGTTACAAGTCCCATCAAGTATTTATGTAAGAAACATACATAGTTGTGGTATTATGTTTAGCAGATTTAGAAAACGATGAATGTTATAACAAGTCAAAAGATATAATATTCAGTATAGTATACTAGACCTTGTATAAAATTGTTTAAATAATATTATACATTTCAGGCGCAACATAGAAACATCTTTAGATAAATCTGAAGCAGAACAAATTGAAAATAATCATGCAAAAAATATTGTAAGACAAATAAACAGGATTATAACAAATAATTTAACTGACAAAGTTCCTCATATTTTGACATCACAGGTAATTTTATTTTAAACTTATTGATTATTACATCTGTAACATTGAGTTATAACTCAATGTTACAGATGTAATCTATACTTATTATAAAAATAAGTCCCCCGGCCGCGTCTTTCTGTCCTCCTGTCTGTCCTCCTGTCTGTCTGTACGCGATAAACTCGAAAACTACTGAACGGATTTTTATACGGTTTTCAACAATAGAAAGAGTAATTCTTGAGGAAGGTTTAGGTATATAATTTATTATGCTTTTATGTAAATTAGCTGAAATACGGCGACAAATGTTGAAGAGGTCGCAAAAAATCTCGCCAAATGGGAACTTTCCACGCGAACGCCGCGTAAACTAGCAAAGATACAGTTAAGTAATGTACTAGAGAATTCAAAATCTATAAAAATGCTACAAAAAAGTCCGCGATAGCATATCTCTATCTCTTACGGTTGACTTACAATAACCACTTTTATGTTAACATTTTTAATTAAAAACATTACGTTATTTTCAAAGTTATTTTCTTTAGTTCGGTATTAATCCTTATCCAAATGAATATTTTAGTTAGCTTAGTCATTTAATGCAGATTAAAATTGCTCTTTACACTAAATCAATCAGATGAATAGTTTTTGAGATATCGTTGTTAGAAGTAATTAGTAGCGAAACATTTTTAATGCTTGGCGAGCATTGAGATGCCTACGGCGAGTCCATCCCCTCTGCCCCGCATCGCTCGACCGCCTGCTCAAGCTATATAAACCGGGCGATGTAGCGCGCGATCCTAGGATACTTTTTACCGCGGGAAAATATCTTATTTCTGAGGAAAAATACAAAAACTGCAATGTAAGAGTATACTAATATGTAACACCTAAGAATTTAGTTTTTGGTCATCTGAACGCGGGCGGAGCCGCGGGCAATGCTAGTAATGAATAATCTATAAAATAGTATTAATATTAATCCAAACTAATATTAGGTATAAATGTGAAAATGGTTTGTTAGTTTGTTCTTCTTTCACGTCGAAACGGAATGACGGATTGGTGTGATTTTTTTGTGGGGAGATAGTTGAAGGGCTAGAGAGTGCACATAGGCTACTTTTTACCGCAGGTGATTATCTCATTCCAACGGGAAAACATGTTATAATGCCACCCATAAAATAATTGTCGTCAGAATTACTTGAAACTAGGTATTAATGTTTTTCAATACAATCAAATACAAAAAATCTTAGAACATATCTGCTAAAAGTAAATACTGCTTGCAGATTTCCTTATAAAACAAAAAAAAAAAAAATCAAATACGTGTTTTAACATTTTTCAAAATTCATCCCATAAGGGAGTTAAATAGGGCATGAAAGCTTATATGAAATCTACCTTTTTAGAGATTCTTTCGAGCAAAGCCGCGGGTTCTGCTAGTATTATTATAATATTAACAAAAATATGTGTTAAAAATGCATTAGTAATTATTACTATAGTGAATTTTGACAAAGATGGTCTGGCTTTATTTTTGTTTAATTATTAAAATAATTAGAATATGAAATAATATTGTCCTTTTTCCATTTTAGGTTGATTTTGATCCTCGTCATGAAGCCTTTTGGTTTATTGGTGGTGTTGATGTGCCATATAAAGTAACTAAATGGAGAAGGAAATATCCATGGTTAAAAGATAGGGTAAATGAACCAATTGACAGACCAGTTCAATATATAGGTAATCTCTTATTTGATAAATCCACACTAATATTATAAATAGTAAGGTTTGTGAGGATGGATGGATGGATGTTTGTTACTCTTTCAAGCCAGAACAGCTGAATGGATCTGGATGAAATTTGGCACAGAGATAAATTATAGTCTGGAATAATATATAGGTTACCTTTATCCTGGAGAATTATACGGTTTCCGTGGGATAGATCTGTTTTTGTCTAGGGACGAACCCGAAGCGAAGCAAGTGTGAGTTGCTAGTTTCTTAGTAAATTTATTATGATGATAGATATGAACTTTCTTATGATTTGATTATAGACTATTGTAATTTGTTAGTATAGTTTTGCAATGATTATTTTGGTTCACAGGTTCACCATTACTAACTCTAAGAAACAATTTGCCTTTAAAGCCAGTGATACCATATAGTGAATCAGAAAATCCAGAATTTAAGGTTCCTAAATTTACATATATTCCTGAAAGTATTGGGTACTTCAGTGAGTTTAGACATGGTACAAATATTCCAGGTAAAGTTTTTTTTTTAATAACAATCTCTCAAGTAAATAATTAATAAAATATTTTGCATTACAAAATTAATATTTTTAAATTTAAAAAATGATATAATGCACGTAAGAAGTTATATTTTTTTGGTGTAACAGGATAAAAATAGCTAAAGATTTCATCATGTCACAACTCTCTGTTTGTAAAAGGAATGCAGCTAACTTCATCATGTCGCTTTTTGGCTTTGGCTGTCGGTGTGCGCGCGCATCGTAAAGATTTTACTTTCATATTTTTTTCCAAATGTGCCAAAAGGAGTATAACTTCAAAAATATTGTAGATTGGAAAAAAAGATATTTCTAAATTCTATGTGTATAACATATTAATATTTATATTGTATATTAAATTTTACAGGATTTTGGCCTGGTGAGTATGATGAATATGGTCTACTCTCGTTTCATGGCCGAGGTCATATCCTAGATAGAAAAGAATCTTTTGGTGAAGAAGACAACTTAGAAGCACTAAATACTCAAGCTATTAAATCTAGTTTTGGGTGGTTGTTAGCGCAAGCTAATTATCAAGGGTTCACTACTTACAATGATCTCACTTATCCTTTAATAACTCAAACAGTTATAACTAATGGACATTTAATATCTTTTTATATTTATCAATTAAACACTATTGTTATGCATAACGATGTAGTTGACAGCAATCCAAAACACAATATATGTTTCGGAACAAAGCCTATGAAATTATATGACACCATTGAAAATGGAAAGGTGAAAGGGTTAAATGAAGATGTTTTGAAAATGCTGGTACAATTTTATTTAAATGCCCCAGAAGAGAGAGAACATGAAATGAAACCATACCTAGGCAAGGAAGAACAAGTAGTTGCAGATATAGATGATGATAATAAACGCTGTTGGTTGGAATCAACATATAAACATCTTGTTTCAAACCGCCCAAAACATTTCTTGTTACCAGAACTCTATTTGTGGGAGAAAATATACAAGATACAATTCAAAACTCGATTCTTTGAAGCAAGGAGGAGACCATTTGAATGGGGAATCAATCCATTCAAGAGGCGCTTGGATGAACATTTACCTCCTTATATACCTAAAGTTTTAAGGCCATATCCAAGATCTAAAAAGAAGTTTGAAACAACTTACTATCCAAAAGTTTAACTAGGGTGTAGTAAATGTAAATTATAACTTTATTATCTATGTAGAATAAACTTTTAATAAATTAGTGTTATTTCAAATTGCCTCTTTAATTTTTATAAAGTCCTCACCTTTCCCACCTCAAACTCCGGGCTACTGCTGATAAAATCTTAACAGAAAAATTCAGTGATAAACATGGCGCGTACCGGGACTCGAACCCGGGACCTCCGGATTTGCAGCCGTATATGCTAGCCACTAGACCACTGAGGCGATAGTAACGTTAAACTAAGTATTCTTTGGTTTTAGCTAAATGGGACTGCGTCAATGGTCTAGTGGCTGGTATGTATAAATGGGTCCCGTTGCGTCGGGCCATGTTAAGTTATTGTATTTTTCCATTAAGAAATTTTCAGTAACAGCCGATCTCCAAAGTCAGTCTGATTATAAGCCCACTAAAGTCTAAGAGTGAGGGAAATAGAACGAAAATTGATATAGTCGCGTATGAGTTATGCCTGACTTGCCGAGTGCTGACATGCTTTTGCCTTTTTAACAGTCCTTTCCATGATGCGAGTTATAAAATGTTAAAGGAAAATGTTAAGTATCTAAATTAAAAAACGAGCAGTATTTTGTTTATGGATTATTGTTTTTTGGTCATGGATATTATGATTTATGTGTCATTTTATCGTCGCATATATCTTATATGACAATTGACAAATATTCAAATAAGCAGCGTAGCCAACTTAGGGGTTTTCCCCCCAAATTTAGGATAAAAAAATTGCACCGGGGTTTTTAGGGGGTAAAAATGTTTAGTGTTTTTTTTCTTTAATAGCATGATCTAAACATAAATAACGTTATATAAAGTTTCACTTAAAGACTTGAAAAATGAAATATCATTTGCATCATTTATCCTTTTTTTTATTATTTTCTAAGTTATCTATGAAATTTATTATTATTTTTAAATGGTTATACGTATTTATTATAAAAATAACCATATAAATAAGTTTTTTACTCTACTTGTAATCATTTAAAATAAAAATAAATTAGTATTACATTAAATCCTACATTTTCAAATTGTCAGATAAGGGGATTTAGGGGTTTTTGAAATTACTCGGGGGATAAAATTTCAAGTGTTGGCAGCACTGTAAATAAGCCAAACTGACATTTGAGTTTGACACTGTCCGCTGTCGTTTATCACATTGTTGTGAACAAAAATAACGTGGTAAATTCTTATGATATAAGCTGAAATATTTGAATTATTTATTTTTGAAACAAAAATGAAGAATTTATCTTTATGGCAAGTTACTTCAAAGAAGCAATTCGATTTCCAAGAAAAGTATTGGATTTGTTATGGTCATCAAGAAGAATCTGATACCGGAGATTTTTTCGTGTGTTCAAATAGCCTTAACATATGCAATGTTAATTCTTGTGGTGAAACTGTATGGACCAAAAATTTATCAGATATGGTATCATCAGAAAATGCACCAGTAAATATAACATTTTTAGGATTGATCAATTGCGTGAGTGTTGGCCTTGCAAATGGTGAACTTATAACTTTAAGTAATTTCGGTGCTACTAGTGATTTGGCCGGTGTATGTGATAATGGATTATTGGTAAGTGTACCGTACTGAAATTGGAATTAATATGAATATTAAAAGTATCTCTTAACATTTGTGTACAAAATTTTAGGCTATGGAATGGAGTCCTGATCAGGAGCTATTAGTTTTAGTGACAAAAGATTTAAAAGTAATTTTAATGTCTTGCACATATGATCCAATAAATGAACAAAGTTTGATAAGTGAAGAATTTGGAGAAAAACAGTTTGTAACTGTTGGCTGGGGGAAAAAAGAAACACAGTTTCATGGATCTGAAGGAAAGCATGCAAGAACAAAAACTGATGTTGTTGCTGGTAATGGAATTTTTATTACTTAATTAAACTGAATATTATTATTTTATTTGTAAAAGTGTAAATAATTAATAATAAAGTATTTGTTATATATACTTTTTATGTTTTGTATGTAATTTATTTTATTATGTTATATTCTAGATGACAATATTGAGGACAGTAATAGAATTCTAATATCTTGGAGGGGAGATGGCAATTTATTTGCAGTTGGGTTCACAATGGAAGGTATTAGAAGATTCAAAGTTTTCGACAGAGAAGGAAATTTGCAATATACTAGTGAAAAACAAACCGGACTTGAAGCAAATTTATCATGGAGGCCTAGTGGAAATGTTATTGCAACAACACAAAAGATAGCCGACAAACATATTGTCGCATTCTTTGAAAAAAATGGCCTTAAACATGGAAGTTTTGACATACCCATCAACTCAAATACTATTGTAGAAGATTTACTTTGGAGTTCTGATTCTGAAATACTAACTATAGTATGTAAGGATAAATCAGACAGTTCACAAAAGATTTTACTCTTCACAACCAGCAATTACCATTGGTATCTCAAACAAACTTTAGTATTTGAAAAAAGTATAAGTAAAGTGCTATGGGACAATGATTTTGAAGTTGTTAATAATAAAAAATTGCATGTTGTATTAGAAAATGGCCAGTATTACTCATACACATGGGTATGGAGTATAGATCATAGCAATGGTAAAAGTGAAGAGGATGATGCTGTTGTAGCAGTCATAGATGGAAAGAAAGTTTTAATATCAGCTTTTAGACATTCAGTTGTTCCACCACCTATGAGTAATGTGGAATTAGAATTGCACTCTGATGTGAACTCAGTGATTTTCTCTCCTGGAAATTCATTAAATTCTAATTTATTAGTAATATTGACTGTAAAAAGTTTAGTGTTTTTAGAGCAAACTATAAAAAATCCTTTACTATATACAATATCTAAAGAAGTAGCTTTGGACAAAAATGACTTTCCATTCCAATATTATAACTGGCATTGGTTAGATGAAGAGAGGTTCATATGTACAAAAGTTGGAAATGATTCATATGAAGTAGTTCAATTCAAAGTATGTGATAATAAACTTATTGAAGAGAACTCACAATCTGTACATTCAGCTGTATCAAGAGTTCAAAGTCATCCATTATTACCATCAGCTGCATTTTTACAACTCATTTCTGGTGAGATTTTGGAATACAATCAAGATTGTATTACACCTCAAGAAGTTTCATTCCCTGAAGCCTGCCAAAAGTTTTCTGTTTTATCAATACATAATGATATATATTTTCTTGGTCTTTCCCATAAAGGTGGTTTTTATATAATGGATAGACTAATTATTAATAATGTAAGCTCATTTTTCATTCACACCAGCTTTTTACTCCTTACAACTTTAAAACATGAATTAGTTTGCACAGAAATATCTAAATCTGGCCTTGAAAGACTGGAAGCATATGATAAAATAGAAAATATTGATATATTTAAAAGAAACATAGAAAGAGGTGCAAAATTAGTTGTTGTAGTTCCAAAAGATACAAGGACTATTTTTCAAATGCCAAGAGGAAATTTAGAAACAATTCAACCAAGACCTTTGTCACTAAAAATTATTGGAGAATATCTTGATTCACGAAAATATTATGAAGCGTTTGATCTAATGAGAAAGCAAAGAATAAATCTGAATTTGATTTTTGATCATGATCCAGACCTTTTCATAAAGAGTATTGATGTGTTTTTAGAATCTATAAAGAACAATTCATGGCTTAACCTCTTCTTGACAGATTTAGAAAATATTGATGTCACTAAAACCATGTATTCCAGCAGCTATTCAAATAAAACATCAAATGTAACTGTAAATAACAAGATACATTTTATATGTGACAAAGTAAGGTCACATTTAATAGCTGCATCAAATAATGCCACCAGAGTGTTAACGTTACTGACGACATTTGTGAAGAAAAATACCATAAAAGATTTAGAGCAAGCTTTAGTAGTTATTAAAGACTTAAAATTACAAGAATCAGCTGGATCAAAACTTCCAGTTACTTCTGATGAAGCACTAAAATATCTATTATATATGGTGAATGTAGACCATTTGTTTGACGTTGCCTTGGGAATGTATGATTTCGATCTTGTACTATTAGTTGCAAATAAATCACAAAAAGATCCAAAAGAATATGTTGCAATGCTCAATGAATTGAATGAAATGGACGAAAATTATAAAAGATTCACCATTAACAAGCATTTGAAAAGGTTTGACAGAGCAGTGCAATGTCTTGCTAAATGTGGTGAAAACAGATATGGAGAGTTACGCACATTTGTTAAATATCATAGTCTTTACAGAGACGCTCTAGCTCTGTTTTCTATTGATGATGAAATTTATAAGCAAATATCTGATGATTTCGGTCTTTATTTGAAATTAAAGAAGCAATATGTTGAAGCTGGTATTGTTTATGAAATGGCTAAAAGTAATGATAAAGCTATTGAATGTTATAAGGATGCTTTAGAGTGGGAGTTGGCTTTAAAGTTAGCACATGAGATGCCTAAAAATGAATTTACAACATTGTGCTGGTAAGAATTTATTATTATTTTAATTATTATATAAGTTAAAAATATGACTTCTAGTGCACTTCTTAGGTATGAAGTGAAGAGATCGCGAGTTCGATTTTCTCATGGGATGGACGGCTGTTTTCATGGGCGTACCCAGCTTTTGGTCCAGGGGGGGGCAATACAGAAATTTATTAAACCTGGTCCCAAACGTGGATCCAGGGAGAGGGGGGGGGGGTCATGGGGGTGATGCCCCCCCCCAAGCCAAATATACTTTTTTAAGAAGTTTGAAGTTTAAGTAAGGGAAAAATAATACAAAATAATTTCTTTAAGTACCTAATTCGAAACAAATTTAGTTTTTATTTGTTTCGGACGACCAGAACCAGGGTATGTCTAGTACCCGGAGGTCGACCTGGGACAATCTCCCAGACGTTCTTGGCGTACACGGCAGTATGTTCGTTCGCTGGTAATGTACGCCACCACGCACCCCTGAATGCGTAGCTTGGGTCCCGATCCACTAGGGTTTCTTCGTTGACAGGAGACTATACTTAGAGGCGATGAGATAAAAACACAATTTTTCCTTTTTTTCTCTCTTAATTTCGGTTCTTCCTTTTCCTTTTAGTTGTTGCCTCTTCGGTGGCTGTCTTGCGACTGACTCGAATCGAGAAATGGCTCGCCTTTTATTTGGCCCGTTAATACCTTACAGAGAGCCGCGTACTTTGAGCTCATTTTTCGAGTAAAATTTCCCTAAACCGAAACCTTGAGAGTCCTTTTATTTTATGTTTTCAGTAAAACACCTTACACATATTTATTTATTTACATGCCTTACATACTATTATACAATATTAAAACATAATATTCAATATATAATAATTAATTAAAAAAGTCTTAAAACAAAAATATCTAAATTTCTAGGTTGCTACATTTTTACTATAGATTTTCCCTTATAACTTTTGAACGGGTAGTCCTATCGACCTAATTCTTGTTTTATTATAAGTTTTATAATAAAATCTATTATTTAAAACATAAACTATTATGCTATTGCAAGAAACAAAAAATCTCATTTTCAAGTTACGTAATTATATGCTAACATTTTACTTACGTACCTATTCCTTTCAAATTAATGTTAAATAGTCTTATATGATTCAAATAAGCAAAAAATACTCTAAACTAACCTTATTACACTAATTAGAACTTATTTTAACATAATAAATCTAATAAGAATGAGATTTCATATTTACAACAATTATTCATAATACGCTAAAATGACATTGTCCCTATATTAATTCACACGTTACTCGAAGATAGGTTTTCCGTCGCCGACATTCTCCCCCTCGTGCTTTGCATCAACTCCTGGACTCGGCGACGCTCCCGGCACCAACAGCACCACTCTCGAACTGGGCCTCCGTAGAACACCTCCTCTGGTCTCGACGTCGACGACTCTGGTCCGCCCGTCTGGTCAAGGATACACATGCAGGATTCTTCCGCGTGGCCAGATGTATCTTGGTAGGCTGTGATCGACGATCAGTACGATGTCTCCGACTTGCAAATCTGTGTCGCTGACTCTTCCTTTGGTCTTCCTTGGTAGTAGAGTGGGCAAATACTCTCTCAGCCAACGTTGCCAGAAGTGATCGGCAAGTCGCTGCGTAGCCTTCCAGGTGTGTCTGCCCACAAGCTCGTTGTCCTCGAAGCTGCCGATTCTTGCTGCGCCACATGATCGCCCGATGAGAAAGTGGTTCGATGTAAGGGCTTCTTCTTCAGGGTTCTCGGAGAGGTGGGTGAGGGGCCGAGAGTTGACTATGTGCTCGGCCTCTAACAGGAGGGTATGAAGTACCTCCTCTCGTGGTTGCCTTTCGTTGAGCGTGGCGTCCAGTGCGGTTTTAATGGATCGCACCAGACGCTCCCATGCACCTCCCATGTTTGGTGCACCAGGAGGTATGAACTTCCACTGCACGCCGATCTTCTCCGCTTCCGAGATAAGGTCTTCTTGCTTCATGGTGTCTAGTGCTTCTTTGAGTTCTTTGTTGGCGCCAACGAAGTTAGTGCCATTGTCGGTGTAGATTATCTTTGGCATTCCCCTTCTCGCGGCGAATCGTCGTAGTGCCATGATCATGCTGTCAGTGGAGAGTGAAGGAGTGAGCTCAATGTGTACAGCTCGTGTTGTTAAGCATGTGAATAGAGCACCTCATCTCTTCTCATGGCGTCTTGCTACGGTGATCGTCATAGGGCCGAAGTAATCTATTCCCGTGCACGTAAATGGAGGGTTTCCGTGCATCAGCCTCTCAGCAGGTAAGTTGCCCACTGGTAGTTCTTGAGGTCTTGCCTTTCTTGTTTTGCACCACTGGCATTGATGTTGAATGGTCTTGATCGCTGACCTCAGTCCTAGCACCCAGAAGCGTTGTCTTACTTCGTTCATTACGGTCGCGTGATTCCCGTGATTGAAGCGGCAGTGAAATTCTTCTATGATGAGAAGTGTTGTCTTGTCCTTGCTGTCGAGTACGATGGGTCGTTTGTAGTCTCTGGTAACCCCTCGTATCGCGTCGATTCTTCCTTTCAGTCGCAGGAGACCTTCTTCTAGCACTACGTCGAGCCTTTTCAACTTGCTGCTGCCCTCTAATTGTTTTCCTTGCTGTAGGCACCTGATGTCCTCTTTGAAGCATTTCTCTTGACTTCTTCTTAACAACAGCGTTTCAGCTTGCTCTAGTAGACTTGTTTCCAATGGTATGTATTTCCTTTCTGACGTTTTTGAAGACAGATGTCGCTTCTCAACAATTTTCTTATTCCTTTTTGTAGTTTTCCAGGTAGGATCTTCTTTGCTGGCGTGGACCTTTTCCTTTCTTCTGCAGAGTTGTATGAACTGCAACTGAACTCTTGCTGTAGCTCGCCAAAGTCTTTTCCACGACAAGAACTTTTCGGGATCTGGTGATGGATAGGAGCTGCCTGCAGTCGCTACGATGTCCGCTGCCTTTTCTTCGCCAGTGGTTTCTTTCTTGAATGTTCTTGCTGCAGGCCAGTGAACTTCATCTCTTCTTAGAAACCCTGGTCCGGTGTACCATCGGTGTTGGCAGTCGAAGTGTTCTGGTACGTCACGTGTTGCATCATCTGCAGGGTTCTGCGCCGTCGGTACCCATCTCCAGTCCTGTGGTTTTGTGAGATCTTCTATCTCCGCCAAGCGATGAGCCACGAATGTCTTGAAGGTTCTCGGGTCCGTCTTGATCCATGATAGCACGATACTGGAGTCTGTCCAAAACGTCTACTTTTTCTATTTTCAGATCCATTTCTTCCTCGAGTGTGCCAATCTGCTTCCTAGGAGGGCCGCTTGCAGCTCGAGTCTCGGGATTGACACCGGCTTCAACGGAGCGACTCTTACTTTTGCTGCTACTAAGCTGACGTCATAAGTCCCATTTTGATTTTCAGTTCTCCAATATACCGTAGCTGCATACGCCCTTTCGCTTGCATCCGTGAACGTGTGCAGCTCCCCTTCGGTGCGACGTGGTGCCAGACATCTCGGGATCTAAAGGTCTTGGAGCAGCTTCATCTTCTCCAGGTAAGTCTTCCATGACTCGTACTCCTTTTCTTCTATCTCTTCATCCCAACCGACGCCACTTCGCCATATGTTCTGGAGCAGCCTTTTGCCTTGGATGAGAATTGGTGATGCTAGCCCTAGTGGATCGAAGGTCGACATCACGGCGCTGGTGACTTCTCTCTTCGTAGGTACCTTGAGTCCTTGTGCCACTTCATATGGCGTGTTCCGAAGGTTCGCCCTAAAGCCTATGGAGTCCCTTTCTGTAAACCAGCGTAGTCCCAGTGTCTTCTCTTCCTTCTCACCAAGGTCCACCTCTGTCTTCTCAACTGACTCAGTCTTCACGTCTTGCAGCAGGTCGGAGTGGTTTGACGCCCATCCTCGGAGTTCGAAGCCCGCCTTTTTGTGAATGAAGTCCACCTGCGCTGTAATTCTCTTGAAGTCCTCTTCTGAATGGAAGCTGTGCAGGTAGTCATCCATGTAATGGTTCAGCTCGATTGCCTTTGCTGCCTCTGGGTACTGCTTCTTGTAGTCCACCGCGTTCCGGTTCTTCACGTAGATCGCTGTGCTAGGAGATGATGTCGCGCCGAAGATGACTGATGTCATTCTGTACTCCTTCGGTGCTACGTCACGACGATCCCCTCGCCACAGGAACTTCAAGCTGTTTCTATCTTCTGGCCGGATGCGAACTTGCAGGAACATTTCCTTTATGTCGGCTGCCACTGCAAACGGGCCTTGCCGGAACCTCAGTAATACCCCGAAGAGCGATTGCAGTAGGTCTGGTCCCGGTAGTAAAGCGTCGTTGAGGCTTCTCCCTTTAGACTTGGCTGCAGCGTCGAAGACGATCCTTATTTTCTTCTTCAATGGATGTACCACGGAGAAATGAGGGAGGTACCATGTCTTCTTTGAATCTTCTTGTCCACCAGGTGCTTCTTCTGCATACTTGCTGTCGATTAGATTCTGGATCTGCTTATTGTATTCTGCCTTCAGCTGAGGGTCTTTGTCTATCTTCTTTTCAATGTTGAACAATCGGTTCTTGGCAGACATGTAGCTTTCAGGCATCTGTTCATCTTCATTTTTCCATAGAAGTCCAGCTTCAAATCGACCATCTTCTAGTCTTCTGCAGGTCTTCTCTAGGATGGTGAGTGCTCTTCCTTCTGAATCCGTAGTGGGTCTTCTTGGTAGTACTCCAAGTGCTTCGATTGCGAAGTGATCCTTGATGGCTTGATGCATCTCTTCTTCTGGCGTGCTGACATGTAGACACGTGTTTAAGAAGTGCACCACTTTCGCGCCTCCAGTGTCTGACCCGTGGAGCACCCATCCAAGTCCTGTTCTTGAAGCGACTGGTTGTCCTGGTTTCCCTCTTCTTACTTCTTGAGTCACGATTAGCTCCCAGTTGTCTTGACCGATGAGCAGCTGTGGTGACTCCCCCTTATAATATAGAGAGTCAGCAATCTTCTTCAAGTGTTGACACTCTTCTATCCTTTTCTTTTCTAGGAACTGCGGTGCAAGCTTCAACTCTTCGATGGTCCGGACTCTTCTCAAGGTCTTCTTGGTCTTCTGATGAATCCCCTTCACCGTAAGGTCCAGCATCTGAGAGTCTTCCTTCCTTATCAGCCTGCCTCCAACAGTCTCGATGACCAGTTCCTCCTTTCTTCCTTGAGCGCCGATTTCTTCTGCTACCTTCTGGTCTAGCAGCGACACTGTTGACCCTTCATCCATGAGGGCCAATATCTTCTTTGATCCTTTTGATCCGAAGATTTCTATCGGAATTATCTTCAGGTATGCCCTTGCGTTGTTGACCGCATTCACCGATGCCATGATGCTCGCCACTTCTTGTGGTTTGTTCTTCTGTTCTTCCGAGGAACTTTTCTCTGTCTCGACGTGCAGCAGATGATGATGCCACCTCTTGCATTCCTTGCACGACGGCTTCTTGCAGCTCTCCTTCCGATGTGTCCCTTGTAAAACGCGGCTTTTCTTCACTATTGCCCATCGATCGCACAGACGCCTTCAGGAACTTCTGACACCCGACGAGGAAGTGTTCACCCTCACACATGGGGCAAGTCTTCTCTGATCTTGAAACCTTTTCTCTTTTCTTTGAAGTCCTTTTCCTTAGTTGAATGCGTTGCTTGTCGATGAGTCCGTCTGAACCCGCTCTTCTCTTCTGTTGATGCATAGGCTCCACACTTGTCTGCTTCTCTGTTCAGGAACTTGGACACCAGTGTTAGGTCGGAGAACTCGCCTTCTTCTGTTGTTTCAATGAAGTCGTACCATCGGAACTTGAGGATCGTAGGCATCTTCTCAATAATTTGTTTCACCATCTCAGGTGAATGCAGGTACTGTGGTTTCTTCAATCCTTTTATTGCCGCTACGCTGTTGCTGATCTGGCTCGCGAAGAGGCATATGTCCCTTGGGTTTTCAGAAATCTTCGGCAACGTTTTGACCTTGTCCAACTCTGCCAGCACCAGTGCATCTGGTCTTCCATATCTTCTTCTGAGGGCTTGAATCACTTCCATCGGAGAGGCTTCGGAGTACAGCAGACTCTTGATAGCTTCTCTTGCGTTGCCCTTCAGTGCTCTTCTTAGCCGAGCCATATTCTGGACGTTGTTGAACATCGGTGCTGTATCTTCATAGACAACCTTGAAGGCCATCCACTCGCTGCTGTTGCCGTCGAAGTAGGGTAACTCGTGAATGTAGGTTGGCTGTCCTGCTGGTCCTCGCGTGGTAAGAGCTTCCTTCAATGCTGCCGTCAGTGCTTGAATTTCAATCGTAGCTCCTCTCGTTGAGGAGTTCTCTTCAGGCTTCATCTTCTGTGGCTCTTCCAAGGGGTGTGGACCTCGCATCTCTGGTTGAACTTTGTTGCCATCCTCCAGCACAGATGTCTCGATCCAGTTCTGCACCTGTGCTGTTCTGTCTTCCAGGTCTTCATCCACGGAGTCCTCTTCTTCACACTGTGCCATCTCCAATCTGACACGGGCTAGCTTAGTTTCAGCCTGTGCTTGCTTCAACTCCAGGCGTGCCAACTCTTCCTTTGCTTCTAGCTCGCGTCTTCTGGCCGAGGAACTCGTGGTCTTCGTGGACCTGGCGCGACGACTGACCCCCATCGGTTTCAGGGTCTTGGAGGAGCTTTGAACATCCTTTCCAGGTACATCTTCTTGGCTCTTCCTGGTCATCCTCTGTGCAGCATCTTCTTTGTTGCCTCCCATAGACGCCGCCGTAGTTGCAGTCGTAACCGTAGTCTCCGTCACTGTGGTGCCCTCCGTGGTCGTGGTACCCGAAGAAGTGTTCGATGTAGTTGCAGTTCCCGATGACGCCGACGCTGACGTGACCCCTTCTGATCCCGACGTTCCATCTGTCGCGTCCCTATCTGAAGGACGGGACCCGGGACGTGAGGGGGCATCCTTCTGCGACCTGGTTACCGGCATCTTGAACGCAATCTTCTGTTTCTTCTGAACTTCCTCTAGCAGGGATCCGGCTCGAAGGACCAACTGTTTCGGACGACCAGAACCAGGGTATGTCTAGTACCCGGAGGTCGACCTGGGACAATCTCCCAGACGTTCTTGGCGTACACGGCAGTATGTCCGTTCGCTGGTAATGTACGCCACCACGCACCCCTGAATGCGTAGCTTGGGTCCCGATCCACTAGGGTTTCTTCGTTGACAGGAGACTATACTTAGAGGCGATGAAATAAAAACACAATTTTTCCTTTTTTTCTCTCTTGGTTTCGGTTCTTCCTTTTCCTTTTAGTTGTTGCCTCTTCGGTGGCTGTCTTGCGACTGACTCGAATCGAGAAATGGCTCGCCTTTTATTTGGCCCGTTAATACCTTACAGAGAGCCGCGTACTTTGAGCTCATTTTTCGAGTAAAATTTCCCTAAACCGAAACCTTGAGAGTCCTTTTATTTTATGTTTTCAGTAAAACACCTTACACATATTTATTTATTTACATGCCTTACATACTATTATACAATATTAAAACATAATATTCAATATATAATAATTAATTAAAAAAGTCTTAAAACAAAAATATCTAAATTTCTAGGTTGCTACATTTTTACTATAGATTTTCCCTTATAACTTTTGAACGGGTAGTCCTATCGACCTAATTCTTGTTTTATTATAAGTTTTATAATAAAATCTATTATTTAAAACATAAACTATTATGCTATTGCAAGAAACAAAAAATCTCATTTTCAAGTTACGTAATTATATGCTAACATTTTACTTACGTACCTATTCCTTTCAAATTAATGTTAAATAGTCTTATATGATTCAAATAAGCAAAAAATACTCTAAACTAACCTTATTACACTAATTAGAACTTATTTTAACATAATAAATCTAATAAGAATGAGATTTCATATTTACAACAATTATTCATAATACGCTAAAATGACATTGTCCCTATATTAATACACACGTTACTCGAAGATAGGTTTTCCGTCGCCGACATTATTCGTTATTAAGTTTTTCTTTACTTTAAATATGCGCTATACAAATAGTCCGATCGCGATGCGCTACACAAAAATTAAAACCTGAAGTTTTATGTTTTTAAGACGTTAGCAGGTATATAAGGAACAAAAATCCTCCGCTGTTCAGCTAACCCCAAGAAAAGGGGGAATCAAAACGTTGAAAAATAGTTTTTTTTCAATTTCTGGGTTGCTGTGACATCATATCGAAAAATATTCTATACAAAAGTTGTATGTCTAGTAAAAATCTACGACTTTTACAATAACCTCAAAATTTTAAACATATTTCCAAAAACAAAGTTTTTTAATTATTTTTTTTTTTAAATTCTGCAATTATTTTTTGATTTTCATGAAACTAGGGGAATATATTTTCGAAATAAATATAATATCCATTTTTTTTGAAATTGATATGTTTAGTCGTTTCTGAGAAATTTATATTTTACAGTCTCGAGAGGCTTAAAATCACCCCCCAACTTCAAGTGGATGTTTACATTTAAAAAAATTGTCGTTCAATTTTTAGATAGGGCTCATTTTTTTTATCTTGCACTCTACTTTTTGAAGAAATAAAAACGTTTGTTCGTCCTATAAAAACACCCTTAAACATTAAAAAAACGCACAATTTCTGGCTGCTACTACGGCAAGTGCGCGGAGACTGACGGCAGCCACATACATGGGCCTACAGGCTACACACGCTCTGGCTGCGAGCAGCCAATAGGCTGCCGTGCAATCAGGCGCGGTCAGGAATTCGATTCTGCCTAGTGCGCGGGGGTCTTAATGTACATTCAACAGCTTCTAGGAGGGTATCGATGTTATTCTAGCTTTCTATAACACAGAACTTATTTTTTAAGGGATCTTGCAACAGCACTAAAGGAAGAGAAAAGACACAATGAAGCCTTAAGAATCTTGGAGCAATTATTGGATAATAATGAAGAAATCATTTTATTTGCAATTGAATGTGGCCAATACAAAACTGCTTTACGATTGTGTGCAAAATCTAATAGATTAGACCTAAAAGGTAGGTGCGCCGTTTGAAATGAAAAGAAAATTAACTTTACTAAAGTACTTGGTGATTTAAAATAACTTGATGATTAAAAATTAAAATAAATTTCGTTCTTTCCCATTTTTGCCAGCAATGCCAGAAATTTTTTTTTTATTATGTATAGGTACATATAAAAAATAATATTGTTTTTTAATTTCTTGTAGAAACAAAGTTATCGCCAGCGCTATTAGAAGAATATGACAATCTTCAGGATTTATTAGAAACAAGCAAAAGTAACTTTACAAAGTATAGAAATAGACTACAAGTTGTAAGAGAAATGAAAAGCAAGAAACCTATGGACAGTTATGAAGCTTATGGAGGAAATAAGGACTGTGATTTATATTCTGATGCTGGAAGTACTATTGCTTCTTCGTCTGGATCAGGGTATTTATTGATACTTATAACTAAAATTGAAATGCTTCTCTGTTATTTGCAAATCCTACTAATAATATGAATAAGAGAGGATGGGTGTCTCTTTAAGCCAAATCTACTAAACGAATTTTGATGAAACTACAGTAATGTAGTGTATACTTAGGCAGTAGGGTATAATTTATGTAAAATAAATATAATATGATAAAGTATCTAATACATAAATAAATTACGCTTCCGAAGTCGCGGTAAAACACTAGTAACTACATATATATTAAGATATATATATATGGTTTATGGTTATATTATATGTACATGATACTAAACCCTAAACAATTGATTATAACTGTCTGATTATACATCTGCTAATTTATGGAACAGCTGAAAAAATTGTAACAAAATTTTACTGGTGGATTCACATTTTTTTTTAGATTTCATAACTTTTGTGGCATGGGGTGTACCATGTAGTGAGGGCAGAAGCAATGTGAAGGCACGAATGATCACTCCTCAGCCGTAGATGCATTTCGTACATTCTTCAGATACATAAAAAATCAGAATTCTTTACTGTCTTAATATTATCTCTATTTTTTCCTGAAAATTGTGCTTTTTTTCGGATTCTACATAAAATAATAATAATTTACGTTGGTTTTAAATTGTATTTAAAAGAAAAAATTAAAGATATCTTTTTTTCCAACATCAGGAGATCATATCGGTCTAGTAAAAACAGAAGGAAGCACGAGCGTAAAGTTGCATCTCTGAAAGAAGGGTCTCAGTATGAGGACACCGCGCTAGTACTAGCTCTACATAGTCTGGTGACGTCAGCATTTGAACTGCGAATGCACGTGAAGGAAATCAACACAGCTTTGTGTTGTTTGAACATGAATGATAAAGCTTTAATTCTACAGGTAAAAGTTGCTAATAAAGTACAAAATGAATATCATTATTCTAACTTTATAAAATAACTAGCATTGCCCGCGGCTTCGCCCGCGTTCAGATGACCAAAAACCAAATTCTTAGGTTTTATGTATTAGTATACTCTTACATTGCAGTTTTTGTATTTTTCTCAGAAATGAGATCTTTTTTCCGCGGTAAAAAGTATCCTATATGGTGACCCGGATAACCAGCTATCACGATACCAAGTTTCATCAAAATCCTTCCAGTGGTTTTTCTGTGATGCAGTAACAGACAGACAGACACACAAAAATTCTAAAAACTATGGATTCGGCCTCTGTATCAATAATAATATTTATTTCAATAAGATTTTCCAAAAAATATAATGTACAGATTCGGCTTAGTTACAATTTTATTTTATGTATAGATATAGTATAATAATTGCTTTATAAAGGTAATTCTAGTTACATTTCTATTTAATCTGAAACTTATTAGCCACCAAATCGTCTCTATGGATAGTGCCCTCTAAAAACGAGGTAGGGAAAACTGACTACCCTAGAGAGAGAGACGAAATTAAAAACTGTGTTTCTGATGTGGACTGTACTAAAGTTAGGTAGGTTTAATAGGTACTACCCTATTTAAAAACTTTAATAGGATCTCATCAAAAGCGACAAAAGCCACAAACCAATAAATATTTATTGGTTTCTATGTGGCTTTTGTATAAATAGAATTATTATATTATATACCTACAATTATATTTGATTTTTTAGACAAATCTGGAAAAAATACTTAAAGAAATGAAAGATAGCTTTAAACAGATATGGAATAATGAATTTGCTCTGGAAGCCGTCAATGCAGCGATAGTGGCAGAGAATGTTCCAGAAGGCAGCAGTGTGATACCTCAAGGCATTGCTACTTTAGGTGAGTAAGAATTAAAAATAATGAAATGAAAATATATATAAAATACGATTTGGACTTATTTGAAAGATTGATTTTGAAATTTTATTTAAAATAGTAAATAGAACAAATTATTTATTATTTATTTTCTTTAATTACAGAACCTCATTTAATGATAGCACCAATTGTACAGGATCTCAACTGGAAATTGGAAGGATTAAATTATTAATTATTTTTTAAACTTTTACATTATAATATTGTATATATAGATTTTTGTTTTTAAGAATAAATTTTATTGAGATTCAAAGTGACTCTTTTATTATAAAATTTATTTGGAAAAAAATCTTAATTAAAAAGTAGATTAAATTAAAAACATACAATTTTCTTTATAAAAAAACACATTCATTTCTTAAAACACTTAGGTGAACAAAAGTAACACTCAAATCCTATAGCACAGCTGTTGTTGTTGTTGAAAACTACTACTCTATATAGATCTTTCAGCTGAAATTCTTTAATAATAAAATAATTGTCATTTAAAACTGGTTTACCGCACACACACATATTGGCATTATCTAAAAATTCCACTAAAGTCCATGGTATTATATTAGGAGCATAAAAGAATTTATTATTTAAAACCACTTTAGCAGTAATATGTAACAAACTATTAATGTAGAATTCCCATGGCTTAAAATTAACAGTTTTATTATCTTCATTTTCATACATAAAGTTATTTGACGAGAGATCTATGTATTCTAAGCGACATTGCATCAAGCCACATGGTAAAGACTGTAGCCGATTTTGTGATACAGTTAAATATCTGAGGAAGAAATTTTTATCATTTTAATAAAATGTGTAGATAATAGATATTCATATTCAGTATTTGGTTGTTTGAAATAAATTTTACAATGTTTTAAAATGTATTGTTATGATAAAAAATTAAATTATCATTTTTTATTTATACTACCTCAGTGTACTGATGCGACCTAAAGTAGCTGGCAATTTTTCTAAACTATTGTTATCTAGTTTAAGTGTTACTAAGTTTTGAAGCTTCCAAATACTTTTAGGCAATTCTTTTAATTTATTTCCACTAAGATCTAACAGTTTCAAATTTTTTGTAATCTGAAATAAAATTATCTTTATAAATTTTTATTTTATCAGCTTTGCATGATTATTTAATTTGGATAATACATAAAAAAATCTAAAGTATATTATATTTTTTATTAAGTCTATGTAATTAAGTAATAACTGTAGACATGTGCAACATTTTATGTATTTTTATTTTCTAGTTTCATTTAGACTTATTAGTCTTATACAAAATTACTATTTGATTCTCATAACTATACTATGAGCTATATGAGGTAAAACAAACCAAAAATTAAAAGAATGATATTTAATATCATTACAAACGAAATTATCAATTATTAATATTTTTCATATTTTTTATCAGATATTAAAGAATATATTGAGAGATGAATTAAAAAGAATACCTTTATTCCTAGTAGCCACCTCCAATCAACAAAATCCTTTATCCCTAAACAATTATTAGATAGATAAAGCTCACGAATACTAGGCAATCTACCTGTAAGAATAAGATGTATTCTATTGTAACAATTCATTTAGAATAAAATGATATAAATTAAAGTATTTTTTGTTTAAAAGAATATAGATTTTTTATTACTTACCAAATTCAGGGGGAATTTTTTCAATTTCGTTATTACTTAAATCAAGAATTACAAGGTGATTAAGTAATAAAATGTCTCGCCGAAAATTACATAGTTTAAGCCCTACTATGTATAAAGATTCCAGTGTTCGAGGCAAACCTTTAGCAGGAAACTCAGAACGATTACTGATTGTTAATTTAGTTGGAGCCACATCCTTAACGGTAATACCTATAGAAGCTAAATTTGACAGCTTCAAATCTTTAGTGTCTCCAGTAACACAAGATTTAAGTAATCTCATAAAACTTTTTAATTGTATAACTTCACTTTTTACACACAGGTCATGAGCAGGTTCTTCAAATCGTAATGTAACTTTACCTTCATTTAAACATTTAACAAACACTTGTTTCATACATTTCAATTTATATTTTGTACCATTTTTGTTTACAGTGGAAAAGTGTAAAATAAAATACTCTTTGTCATTCTTAGGCTCTTTTCCTAAAGCTAGGGTAGATTTTAAGTATTTGCCATTGGATCTTATATTTAAACTGCTATGTACTCTATTAATTACTTCAACTTGACATTGTAACTTCATATTTTAAATGTAAAAGTAAAACTAAAAAAAAGTATAAACTTAATAAATAGCACTACCATTAAAACCATTTGGCATTTACCGCCAAAATTTGTTGATAAACTGGGACATTTGACAGTAACGAATTTTTTTTAATTAAGTCATTTTATATGGCAACATAGAATTTTGGCATAGGTAAAATTCTTAACAGGTTCGGGTTCACCGTACAGCATCTCGAAAACCTGAAATTTTTTTGTTCTATGTAAGATATTGTCGTTGGATTTAACTATTTAAATTTAAGTAAAAAGATGGATATACTTTTATTTTTATATTTTCATGATCAATGATGCGCCTTTGGTTAGAATCCAGATCAGAAGTTTTTATTAAAGATAATGCTATTTCTGTCTACTGGCAGCCATCTCATTCTAACAATTCACAATTTATTATTTACCTAGAAATAATAAATTGAAATAAAAATAAAAACAAATTTATAGAGCGGCATTAATCAGTGAGTAGTTATATCATAAATTCATAATATACTTCATAGAAATGTAATAAGTGTGTGAAAAGGAATTAAATATATTGGAATGAGAAATATTTTTTTATTAACGTATAAATTTATTGTAATGAACTATATAATTAAGTATAAAAGTAATAACTGTTAATATAATTACTCCGAAAGTGATAGTGCTGAGGATTTTTAGGCTCATTTAATAATTTTATATATTTTTTCAGAATTTGTCAAAAAATGGCTGCCCTTGTTGTTCAATCCCGTTTTGCCGGCTTAAAAATAGAAGACGACGACCATCCTGGTAATGATAACCAGAAATCTAAAAAGAATAAAATGAATCCGGGTAAAAAAATTGATCCTCCAAAGAAACCTAAAACTGCGAATAATAAATCTCAGGTAATTGACCTGTTATTTTTCTTTGCCTTTTTTTTTTCGAGCGTTTTTAAGACTTTTAAATTCTTAAAATGGATGTACCTGCAACTAGTCCGGACTTATGAGTAAGAAAACTGTATTTTGCTTGGTGGTACACTTTTACAGAGAGTAACTGAATTCAAATATCTGGGACACATTGTTACTGAAAATTTAAAAGACGACAAAGACATGGAAAGAGAACGTAGGGCGTTGGCTGTAAGGGCCAATATGCTGGCCCGAAGGTTTGCTGGTTGTTCAGTACCTGTTAAAATTACACTGTTTAAGGCTTACTGCCAAACATTTTACACCAGCAGCCTTTGGGCTAGCTGTACTCGAAGAGCGGCACACGTCCTGCGAGTTCAATATAATAATGCCTTCAGGGCGCTGTTGAGGCTCCCTTATTATTGTAGTGCGTCAGGCATGTTTGCAGATGCACACACTGACGATTATTTCGCGATAATGCGTAAGAAGGTGGCGTCTGTGATACAAAGGGTGAGGGCAAGCACCAACAGCATCCTGAAGGTATTTGCGGAAAGACTGGACGGGCCCACCATGGGGAGGTTTATCAAGTTACATGTACAAAATGTGACTGGATCAATCTCCCTATGGTAGCTATTTATTTATTTTATTTGTATTTTGTTTTACTAACATAGTTCTTAAGTAATTATTGTACTAACCAACTATGAGCCTATGTTGCTCGCTAATAAAAGATTTTTATTTTTTTTTATTTTTTATTTTTTATTTTGGCCTATATAGGATGTAAGACTATTCATTATGTGTTTAGAGTGTAGCGACAAAGAAACGAAAGCATAAGCTGGTAGAAGCTACAACAGAGCAATGGGAGATGTGGAAGCAAAAAGATGAAGAAATTGTTGATGGCAATTTTGAAACCCAGTTGCAAGAGGTCTGTAAAAATTATGCTTTAATATGTAAAGCTATTAATTATACTATTATTATATTATGTTATACTAAGAATAATGATACATAATAAAAAATTAAATAGGTTTTTTCAACCAGATAATATTTATTAAGGTGAACCTCCTTTGAATTACTTAGATGAGTTCCCTACAGTTATCAAATATATCCAAATAAAATAATTAGTACCTACATATTTAAAATATTGTGCAATTTTGATTTATTTAAAGTAAATAATTTATTCAATACATTAATTTAAAATCAGTTTGCTTAACTTTTAGACATAATAAGATTTTTTTTTAAAGTTGTAGCATAAGCCAGTACATATTAAAATAAGACATGGATTTTAGGCAATTCTCTTATCCAAACTTGATTATGAGGAAAAAAAAGATGTCTACAAGGAGCTAAAAAAAGCAGCTGAATTGGAAAAAAAATTGGATGAGCAAGCACGACCAGGAAATAAAAAACAAAAGAAGAAAAACGTTATGAGTCTTGAACAGTTTAATGAAATGGTTACTAGCAATGAGGATCCAAATTGTAAATATAAACAGTATTTGCAATCATATAGTTGTATGATAAAAGTGTCATTTTTATTTAATGTATTATTTTTTATTTGTTCTTAATTCCAAAATTATATTTTCAATTATTATCTCAAATACAATTTATTGTATTTTTTCAGTTATTATCTTAGAGTATTTTAACACAAATGATACAACTAAAGATGTGGTTAAAGGTTGCTTAATCTTTTTAGCTAATGCATGCTTTTCAGTAAACATTATTTTCATTACAGTTATGAATGTTACAACTATCAAAACTCAAGAAGAACAAAAACCAGTTGACAAAGACACAAAGTTCTTTGACAGAGTACAGGATGACACAAAGAATGAACTGTTAAAAGAAAAAATTATAGAAAGAGTTCGAAATCAGTCTGTTCCAGATGAAGTCTTAACTCGAATACAATTTGCTGAAGCTTTAGAGAAGAAGGATAAAGAAATAATAGATTTGAAAAAAGAAGTTACTACTTTAAAAGCGGAACTACTCACAGTGAAGTCTCGGAATAAAAAGCTGTGTAATATACTTGGACAGGGAGAGAGTAAGTTTGATTATTATAAAGTATACTAGCATTGCCCGCGGCTACGCCCGCGTTCAGATGACCAAAAACCAAATTCTTAGGTTTTACATATAAGTATACTCTTGTATTGCAGTTTTTGTATTTTTTCTCAGAAATGAGATAATTTCCCGCGGTAAAAAGTATCCTGTATGTTGTCCCGGATAATCAGCTACCACCATACCAAATTTCGTCAAAATCCCTGCAGTAGTTTTTCTGTAATGCGGTAACAGACAGACAGACAAAAATTCTAAAAACTATAGATTCGACCTCTGTATCGATAATAATATTTATTTCAATAAGGTTTTCCAAAAAATATTTAATGTACAGATTTGGCTTAGTTACAATTTTATTTTGTATATAGATTATTGTCATATATGTTTAAACACTTCATTTGGTTAAATTGTATTTAATAAAGTACGCATTTTTACCAGACAAAAGTATAGATAGACAGCACAGAATAAAACCTCAGTAGTCATCAGGCTCTAATAATAATTAATTGTTTCTATAAAACAAGTCATAACCATTTGTATTCATGGTCTGTGGTAATATACATTTATCTATTAATTCCAGTGAAGGATAAAGCAGAAATTTTGGTAGAAGTAGAACGATTACGCGCCGTCCAGGCAGAACTGAATGCAGAGCTTGCTTCCCTGCATACTGATTTAGAGAAGGAACGTTCAAAGAATGCTGATCCCCGAGCTAAGGATAAGGTAAGGACTTGACGTAATACTGGCTTAAAAATAAAATAACTACTTTGCAAGAAACAATATTATAACTCAATAAGGAGATAAATTATTTATAAGTCCATATTTAAAATTACCGAGTGTGAGCAACACTGAGTTACAATGTTTTACCTTGCTGGTGTGTATATCTCATGGAGGTCAGACAAGAGTTAATAAAAATTCATTATTATTTAATTTGTTTCATATGAATATAAAAGATAATCAGATATTAAAGATAATCAGTTAAACAAAAAATTATTTATATCCTCTAGTGATAACCCTACAAAAAGAAGGCATAAATTTTGTTCTCTCCTTAGAAGCTTTGTTTCTTTGAAGATACTCATGTTATACTTGTTTAGTCGCGAGTTCGATTTTCTCGCAGGGTGAATATTAGAGTGAAGATTTTTGAGACTAGAAAATTAAATCCATACTAATATTACAAATGTGATAGTATGTTTGTTTGTCCTTCTTTCACATCAAGACAAAGTGACAGATTGGCGTGATTTTTTGTGTGGAGATAGTTGGAGGGCTGGAGAATGACATAGGACTTTTTACTGCAGAGATAATCCCATTCCCAGGGGAAAACGTGTTATAATATAACCAACAATTCATCCTATATATATAGTCTATCTATTCATACTAAACGTTAAAATATATGACAGATGTAGTCCTAGTCGCTAGTGTAAAATATTTCTTATATGTTCAGGTTTAATTTTATCTCTCATAGAACATGCTTATGAGAGGATAAAGTAACAAGTTATTATAATATTTCAGAAAAATACTAATAGAAAGAAAAATATACGATTCGATGTGTCGTCTGAAGCGATTGCGTCCAAAGAGATTAGTTCAGAACCAATATAGCTAAAGAAATACTCTAGAAAACGTGTATATCATAAAAGGAAATAAAAATTATAAACTATGTTTTCATTTATTTTTTTATTTTTTGTAAATAGTTGATATTTTAATTTTCAGAAGAAAAGAGGAAATGGAGATAAGGATAAATAGCTAAGATAAAAAGCTATGTAAAAGTCTAGATGTCTGTTGGTACTATATTAGGGCTCTAAGAAAATGTCTTACTTAAGTTTAAATGGTCAATTTCACATTGAAAAATGATTGTGTGTTTGTATTCTATTAATGGAAATGTTAAAATGGCTACAAAGTGGTTCTTCAAATGCAAAATTATTGTTTTACATTCTTTTATGTGAATGAGTTATTAAGAGTACTATTTTTATTTTGGATTTTGAATTTTGCATATATTAATTCACTTTGCAGTAACTCAATGTTGTGTACATATATAGTTATGGTAGAGGTGAATGATTATGAATGATTCTAAGTGTATAGATTCATTCTGATTTTATGTAGTTTTTTTTACAAGGTTTACTTTTGATAATTTGATTATTATTCAATATTTCTCTTGTTCTTTGTAAGTTTTTATTTACTCAAAAATACTCGTGAGATTCTATTAATGATTTTATAATTTAATTATATGAATCATTCGTCGTTACGCACCTCATATAAGAGAAACTTATTTATGATGGATTATATTTTGTAACAAACCTCAACTGGAAAGCCATCAAAGTAGACTAAGATTTTATTTTCACAAAAGATATTTTGATTATGATAGATATATTTAAATAAGAAAATTATTTTACTTTAGTTTTCAACATTCCGAATTTATTTTAAATTTTAATTGGAATTTCTTGAGATCTCTTTACTTGCTCTGTGATTTTGTAACGTATTTTTAATATATGTTTATCTGTAATTGAAAATGTCACAATTTTAGTTGTATATTAAAAATTAAAATCGGAAATAAATGAAAATCTTGCTTTTCATTGATTTTACTATGTTCTATTCTTCTTCATAATTCCTGATTGCGTAAAAACAACAAGTCTTTTTTTTAATAATTTGAATACTATTATAAATGTAAGTCTATATGTGTGTGTGCGCGTGTATATGTTTGTTAACTTTGGTTTCTTACTCATTTATGGTGAAACAGTTGGACAGATTTGAAATAAATTTATCATTGTGGTGCACAGATACACTATGAGTATGACCATTTTTTTGTTGGGAAATGCATTTACGTATACCAAGCGTATACATACAGATATGTATGATATGTGGGACACATCGGCTGGAATTCCAGTACTAGATGGACTATGACCTGGAGTTACCGTAGGTTACTGTTCGACACCGAGGGCTAGCTAGCTCGGCTAGTAATTATTATATATCATGTTAGAATTCGACTCTTATATTTAATATAATTCATTGAAAAAATGGGGTTGTAAAGAAAACAATGGAAACAATGCACAATTTTATTGCCATCTCTAATTAAATACACAATTGTAATTATAATTAATACGCCAGTGTGATAACTTTACAAAGTAACTAAAAGAAATTCAGTGTGTAATTAAGTATGCAACTAATGTTAGTCTTAACAAATCTGAAATTAAAATTGTGTATCAATTGATAGATGAATGTTCCCTGACGAGTCTTAGAACCGAAACGTCAGTTAACTCATTTACAAAATTACACCTAAATATATAGTTAGGTATAAGATAAATAAAATACTACATCCATTATGCAACCACTTGAAAAAAGGACACAAACGACTGTTAATAATAAATATCGGTATTTGTTCCAATAATAGGAGGCATCTAACAAATTCATTATTTTTATACATATAAAGCTCGTTTGAATCGGTTAATTTATTGTTGAACTTTTACAAAATCAAATATGAGATTAAATTGTGTTTATTATTCCATTATATTAATGACTAGGCTTCAATTTCAGTGCAATATTATAAGTTGAAATGATAAAAAATAATTTATGTGTATAAAAATATGAACTTTCATTTGTTAGTATAATCTTAAAAATTACTTATTATACAAGTGTCATATTGGCAGTAACCGCGATTATGGCAACGTGAATTTGATTTCTAAAATATTTTTGGTCCAAATTTTATAGTATATTCTACATTTTCACGTCGGTTTGTATAAAGAATACATACACCACCTATAATACTGTTACAGAATCGTTATTAATATATCTATTAGTTGTTAAAACTAAGCGAAGATAATGTTAAAAATAACTTAAATAATATGGCAGTAAGTGGTAATTGTAGAGCATTGTTTTATGTACTTATCCAGCGAGATTCGTACGTCTCCACAAAATTCCTATTCGGTATTCGAGTACTTGACGTGCTTATCTGGTGAGCGATTATGAAAGACATTCAAATCATTCGGTCATTGTAATCTGATATTATAATATAATCTATGTTAAAGAATATTATATTTTTTTATAATCTATTAAATTATTATAATCGTTACATTGTATTGAATAAAACCTCATTCAAATTATTCAATTATAATAACGAATCATTCGTAATCGCTTACCTCTAGGGAATATGCCTATTCGATGGGCTTTTTGTATTATTGCAAAACGATACAAAACAATTACCTTTCATAGTCACCCATACTTTCACTTTACATTCAAACATTTAAAGTCTCTTGCACAAAATGCGCACGTTGTTCTCGTCAAAAAATGCTTCAAAGTCAAGAAAATATCCGTATGCATCGGATATAAAGCCTCTTCACACAATCAAATGTGTCTTATGACTTCATTTGGAACTGTACATATTTCATATCACTTTTGCAAAAATAGTATTTTAATTCATAATATTGCCAAAGTGGTTTTCTTGGTTAGAACGTCAATAATGATTTCCAACAGAATATGGCTACAGTTTTGGGATTATAAATTGTTTTCCACTTGCTTTCCCTCAATGGTCTTAAAAAATATCCATCCGTTTTGGTAAACTAACAGTAATTTGTTAGTTTAACTCGCTGGTAACGGAGAGTATAATCTGTATAAACCAGAATATACATATATGTAGCGTTATCATTAGCGTCATAGAGTTTTCGTTCATATTATTATATGATCCTTTCAGCAGGTCTACATCGATATTTCACATCGCTCGTCACCTATTGTTTGTAGTTACATGTATAACAATTTTTTATCTTTTTTCAATAAATTCCATTCGATCGTAAAGCCTGTTATTCAGCAGGCTGGCACGTCAAGGCATTTAATAGTGCTAATAGGTTTAGATGCCAAGTCGCATTCGGTATCATCTACAACGTTATTGGATACTTTGTTAACGCAGTGAACACTGCGATGTTTTTTTGCTTCTTCACCCTGCAAACGAATAGAGATATAAAATATAGTTTTCTTATAAGAATAATAGTTTACGGAAAAAGTAGGGAAAGAAATAGAAAAAAACTATATCCTATAAGCTATCTACCTAGCGGGCTATTTAGAACTCATAGAAAGCAGTATAGAATCCTTATGTTATTGCACGTTTTTACTACATTTTAGGTAATTAGGGCTATATTATAGGCAAATAATACATATTTATTAGATATATACCGGCATGTGGCAGGGCTCGCAGGGCTGCCAGGCGCCCACCCACCAGTGCGTGCAGGCGGGCTGCCGGCACTGCTGCATCAGCGCCTCGTGGCGCGGCTGCTCCATGTGGTAGCACTGCGACAGCTCTACTTGACCTGTGAACATTCGTGTTTTGATTTTTTTCGTTTGAAAGATATAAATTAATCCCTCCACGGCCGCGGACACGCCGGCGTGTCGGTTAACAATATAGATTTCTTAGAATTTTAATTAATTTCTTAGAAATTTACCTGGAGGTGTTAAACTTTTAACTGCTTTAAATTAAATTATTTGTAAGAGAGAAAAAGAAGCATTATGTTCTAGAAGTGTTCTTGCTATAATTAGCATTTGTTGTTTCATTTTTATCTTAAACCGAATAATCCTTGTTTTTGGTACATTTGCATTGTTGTGATTATGTCATAAACGTTTTGTGTGTTTTGTTTTAAAACAATAATAGGAACCCTATAGCAATTTGCATTCAATAATAATTTGACGATATGTTTGGCTCAGTTTGTAGTGATCCTACTTGCTGTGTCAGTGGTCGCGGGTTTGAGTTCCGCTGGGGGCATTCATTTGTGTGATGAGTACGAATGTCTGCACTCCATAGGGTGTTTATTTTTATAATATATATAATAGGGTATCAACATATTTATAATAGTGTATCAACTATCTGGTATCCGTAACTTACCATGGAATTAGATGGTGCGGCGTGTTAATATCCCAACATATTTATTAATTATTTATTTAATAGCATATATTAGACAGATTACTAAATATCAAGAATTTTAGTATTTATTTATATTTAATAATCTTAGTATCATTCGTACATGAACGAATTGTGGCTAATTTGTTCCTGTATGTATCACTATCCTTATGAGAACTTACGGAAATGGTCATCAACGCATGTGTAGTGGCGGTGCATGCGGCCGACGCCGCACGTGGCGGAGCACGGCGACCAGGCGGACAGGCGGTAGGCCACGCGCGCGCGCCGCGGCTGGTCCACCGTGTACTGGTACGTCACGCCGGGGTTGCGGTGGCGGCCGCGGAATATGCGTTGCTGGAACACATTCTTTTGTTCATTGACTGGCATTGCCCGCGACTCCGCCCGCGTTCGAATGACCAAAAACCAAATTCTTAGGTTTTACACATTAGTATATTCTTACATTGCAGTTTTTGTATTTTTTCTCAGAAATGAGACATTTTACCGCAGTAAAAAGTATCCTATATATTGACCCGGATAACCAGGTATCACCATACCAAATTTCATCAAAATCTCTCCAGTGGTTTTTCTGTGATGCGGTAACAGACAGACAGACAAAAATTCTAAAAACTATACATTCGGCCTCTGTATCGATAATAATGTCTATTTCAATAAGATTTTCCAAAAAATATTTAATGTACAGATTCGACTTAGTTACAATTTTATTATATGTAAAGACTGACTGGTTTTAAAGATCGTGACATTTAATTTTATACAGATAAATAAAATTGAAGTGTCTGTTTGTAATGTCAAAATAACAGCGTTTTACTATATGTGTATGGAATTATGCACGGTATTTATAACAAAAACACAATTAAAAAAAAAACTGTATCTGTCTGTTTGTTCCGGCTAATCTCCGAAACGGCTGGGCCGATTTTGACTTTGCTTGCTCAAAAAAAATTAAAATGTACCAACCCGAGCCAAGCGAGGGTGGGTCGCTAATCCGTTATATGATTTGAATTACTTTTATTTATTGTTACATTAGCTTTACTTAAATTTAAAGTTTACTTTTTCTATCTTTTTGTATATTTTCTCTTCATACTTAAGTGCCTCATCTTTGTTCTACCAGGTAATTTGTATCCTTTGTTGTTCGTTACCAAGCTCTTTATCCGAAAGTGAAAGTCTTATTACTATTTGTTCAGTTGTTTCAAAATTATGTTAGATTTCGACAAATAGAAAAAAAAAACTGATTTGAGATTCGATCTCGTTTAAATAATCATATAAGCATGATTTTTTAGAAATAACAGACAAACACTTAAATTATATTTGGTTATTAAGAAAGATTTGTATCTAGGCTTTTATATTTGCATATTTATGCTATTATAAATTATTAATATTACCTACTATTCTCAGTAAAACGTTGTTTCTCGATATTTAGTTTTAATAAAAAAGTTATTTGTATAATGATTATTTAATCAGATTAGATTTATATTATGATTTATTTTTGAGTTAGGTATAATCATAATGGGTATGTTATGTATAAATAACATAATATATGCAATTTGGATAGTTTCTTACATATACTTTGATGTCTTCAGCGAGAGGGCCACTAATACGGACTTTCTCCCAATCACGATCTCTCTCGTAAATCGCTTGCGTACCAGCTACGAAGTATTCCGTCAATGTTGCATTTCTGTAAATAATTTATATTTTATAAGAGAAATTTAATAACTTAAAAAATTTAATAACTCAAAAAGTATGACGTGAATATTCTAATACAAATTTTATGCTGTGTATGACTTACCTTGCTCCATTTAAATATATTTTCCTAGATTTTGCGCTTCCAATGGATATGTAGTTTCCAGGGCTAACTTTTTCTTGAATTTTTACATTTCTTGAACCGGCGGGAATAACAGCAACCTAAAATAATATATTTTTGAAATTACAAGACCATACCATACCTCATACCATAGTACCTATATGTTGTGTAATGATCAGTTTAAGACATTAGCAATTTATGTATTAAAGTATAAAACATGTTTCGGTTATAATAATGAAACTCACCTCACTAAATCCAGATTGTCTAGTAGTATCTTTATTATAAATGCCCTGCACAGTTTTACAGGCCGATCCATTTCCCCCACAAACTCCACACTCGTCTTCTTCGACGTCGGAATTCACAATCCAGTCACAGCCAACCTTGTAACACACACCTGTAAACACCAAGGGTTAATGTTATATCCCCCCCAACGTGCGTTCACCTTGTCGTGGTGGGGGGGCTCAGTAGTGCCCGGCAACCCAACCGGGCGCGAAGCCAAGAAACGCACAGGGAGGTGGCCCACTTCGGTGGGCGGTGGGAGGCGGCCCTCTTCGGAGGGCGGTGTGCCATACGGGTTGCTCCTGGTACTTCTCTGATAGCAGAGTGGACCTTGGAGCAACCCTATGGTTGTTGTGGTCTGCTTCGGCAGACCTGCCGTCGGGGCGTCGTAGTTGAATGCGTAAGCGATCCTGCGACGCCCCATTAAGACGGGGGAAGGCTTTGTTGGGTTTTAGTGGGTAGTACTGGCTTTGCCGGTGAGTCCCACACCTCGTGCGTAAATGCATTTCCCAACGTTAAAAAAAAAGGGTTAATGTTATATATTTGTTGTAATAATTATTATTGTGTGTGTTAATCTCCCACTTTTCTGATTTTCATTTGCAAATTATTTTTAAACGTGCTTACCACTTATTAATAAATGGTCTAAAAGAACCTAACTAATACTTTCTTAGATTTACGCGAATATTTGACATTTTAAATAAAACTATCTTTTCGGATTATTTCGCGGATACGGGAGAGTATGATTGCTGTAAAGCATTCGACACGTCGGGAACCAAAAATCAAAATAAATCCGCGAAAAAATCCGAAAAGATAGTTTTATTTAAAACCTAACTAATCAAAAGACGTGTGAAGACCGCCATCCGGTATTTACCTTACGTAGAAAAATATAGCTTGGGCACTGAACAACTTATACTGATTAAGTGGTTCCTGCATAATTTTAGCACAGATTAACAATTCATTCTTTAAGTTGTAATAGAGAGTTTGTTGCCTTGAGACTCTAGGCTACCTACTTTATATTTTAATACGTGTAGTGGTTTAATGAGCATCAAAAATTTACTTAGGAACGGGTCACTGGTACAATATAAGTTCTCAATATATCAATATAAGTTCTAAAGACTACGGTTCTCACTAATAGAACACATTCTATCTTATACTGACCGGCGATACACATGTCCCTCGTGCTCTGTCGACAAGGGGTTCCGTCGGATACGAACACTCCGATCACTTCTATATCCTTCCCGTCGCGAGGTACACATTGTAGGTCGCATGGTTTATCTGAAAAAAATGCAACAGGTTAAGTGTCAATTAATTGGAAGCAATCTGAATCCCAAATAGGTTATATATTAAAGATAAAATATTAGTATAATTAGAATATTTTTAAAGAAGCGACGTTCGACCCCTGGGTCGAAAATGTAATTATTAATCAAATCTGTATGCTTATAATTATATCGTGTTGCATACAAGATAATATAGTTATGATCATTGTATTTTGATTTTTGAGCTGTTTATACTAGATTTAAATTAGTCATAACTTTTAGTTAACCGATTTTAAATAAGAAGAAGGTGTTTAAATCGCATGTCTTTTCTCATATAAATTATTTCATATTTATTTTGTCAGTTTGAAAAAATAAATAAAAACATTAAAATGAAAATAGTGGGAACATTACGCCTAGTATAGAAACTTTCACAAAATTAATCGAAAACCTGATTTTACAAATGTATAGAAGAAACAACATATGGCAAAGTTTATTTTGTTTCTTAGAATAATGAAACATCAAGTCACGTACGAACATACTAACCTAAAAACAATATAGTAAGAATGTTCTAGAATTACCTTGATCAATGTAGGGTATCCATTCTGAGATAGTTTCATTGTGGTAAGTCATATTGTTAAACTTAGCACATTGAACTTCCCTAAACGTCGGCTCGTTGATAGGGCACGGATCCGTGTTGCACACTTTGTATCTGTAAATAAAACCATTTTATTGCTATCTAGTATAATTGTAGCCTATAGTTATAGTGGACTGCATTTACTTCTGTAGTAGACTCTATCAGTAGAGTTATTGACTTGTTTTTTTTTAACTTAAATAAGTATAAAAAAAACAACGCGGATCATATTATATTGTATTATTATAATACATATAGGTACTTTCGATTAAAAGTCTCCGTAATTTAAAAATAAAAATGTTTTAAGTAATGTTTACTATTTAATTTTTTACCTCGCCTAGTGGCCCTCTTAATGGATATACGTTAGATAATATATGGGAATTCCTTGTATGAATCATACAAGTATCCCTACTCACCGACTTCTATCGCCAATACAGTAATTGCCGTTGTTCAGAGGCTCAGGGTTGTTACACTCTCGCGACTGCGTGGAGACGCCGGCGCCACACGTTCGCGAGCACTCGCTCCACTCGCTCCACGGGCCCCAGCCGCCGTCGCGAGGGACGGGCGAAGGGGTGCGCGCCACGCAGGTTTGGTTTTGACACCACTGGTTAATTTAAAATTTATCACATTATTGCTATTTGTAAAATAAAAAAAAATAAGCGTAAAATAAAAAAAAATTAGCGCGAATTTAATATCGTGTTAAAGATTTTTCGCTGGTATTGAACGATTAATAAAATTAGTCATACTTAAAAACAAAGTCCTTTAAATAGCATATAAATTTTAAATCCACAATAACATGTACTAATACATAGTATCTGGGCGATCGAGCTTCGCTCGGAGGTTTTGGTCAGAAGTACAATTTTCTTTTTAATTAGGCTTAAAAAGAAACAAAAACTAAAAACGCGAATAAATATAAAAAAAAAACAAAAGTAAAAACTTTATATCCGTTCGGGAATCGAACCCGGACAACTATTATTGTCAATTTTGCGCCTTGGCCGCTTGACCACGATGCTTATGCCCGAGCATGCGAAATTAGTGAGCTCGTTTAAAGGTATTAGATTTATTAGAGAAAGTCTCCTCTTGTTATCGTGTGAGCATCACAGTCGTTAGTCGTTAGTCGTTATTTTAAAGATAGCTAAAAAGTTACTTCTATTAATATATGTAAATAGTATTTACCATATTTTCCCCACAAGTAGTTCCGGGCGCGGCGGGTCGCAGCATGGTTTTGCATGTGTTATTAACCAAGCACCATAAATGTTCGCAGAGTTCTGTCGGTTTCGCACAAACGACCGCTTCTGCACCAAACTGCAGATGACATTGAGACGCCGCATCAAACGTAACACCTAGGAAACAATATTTAAAATACATATTTTATTTACTTTCCGAAAATAGAAAAATTATAGAAAAGTGCTTTAAGAGAACTATGAGTCAGTTAAAACAGTACTTAATTGAAATAGAATTAAGAACACAAGATCTTACCAGCGGGTACTTCAGGATACACATATGGTTCCTCTTGCGACGGCCTGTCACTCAAACATTCCCCTAAGCCGGCACTGTTCAACAAATAAATAAAACAATTATAATTGTGACCCTAGCATTTTAATTAGAATGCAGTGATATATCACTGCTTGACTGATTTACCTTATTATTGCGAGGCTTTGACTGGGTGTCCGAATAAGTTTAGGCTGAACTAGTTTAGCGACATCCGGTGTTATACCATAATTACGGTATTAATTCATAAGCATGCAGGGCTACTTTCGACTTTACCAGATTTTAATTAATTAAGTATTGATGGCAATAACAGAATGTGGATCCAGCTCATTTGTCTATTTAGAGGGGACCGCTAGGCCGAAAGACATAAAACATCAATCGAACCGCTACTACTTCTGGACTAGTTGTTTATTAGACTTTCAAGTAAAGAGAAAACACGAATGAAAACAAGTTGTAATTATTTATAAGTGATAATGATGTTGGCAATGCTGCAAATTATAAGTAAATGTATACAAAAAAAAACTTCGTTGGAAAATAAATTTATTAGCCGTGTTGACAAACGATAAGAGCTGTATATGCAGATGTCGTGTTTTATCTTCTTTTTATCCCAGACAGTCAATTATAAATATATTTTTAATTAATGTTGTATAAATTGGCATACCTTATTACCTATAGAGCTTCAAGAAGTTAATTAATGATAATATTTCTTTCCGAAAATTTCTTTTAAATTATAACAGCTTGTTCCTCTCAGAACGATGGTATTGTTCTGCCAATTTTCGTTAAATTGTGATTCTCAACGTAAGATACAAAATAATAATTCTTTTTGAATAATGTAATTGGGTCGATTCCATCGAGACAAGATGTGATGCCTTCACGATCTGCCTGAACGTTTATCTGAATGCTTATTGTAACTCAGAACAATTATGGATAATAACTTTAGATTCATGTTACGCTTTCAATGCACGCTAAAATAGAATTTTATGTCCTTTAATATTCTAGGCTAATATAAATGAGTTAGTTATATTAGGTAGTACCTGTCCTGCGAACTCGTTACTCAGCAAATTTTCTTTTCGGTAAAAATAAGATAAAATTATTTATTACCATAGCTTATTATATTACCTGATGTGAAACCCATATTGTTATTTTAATGAAAAGCAATTTTGCTTATCTATTGAAATTTTTAATTATAATATAGTAATACAAATAATAACTAGAATGATTACTCTCTATGACTTACTCCAAGAAATTAGTGACATCTCGTTTGCTGCAACGTGACCAGGCGACTTGAACGGTATCTGCTTCAAAGATTGGTGTCATGATATGCAATGTAGAGCCTTCACGTCTGTGACAGCCGATCTTCTCAGTATCGTGATATAAGCCGAAGCTGAAAACAAATGGCTTATGCTAATCAGTGCTTTATGGAGAGATCAGAACCTCAATATTCTCTATTGGAAGTGGAAAAAAAATAAGTTACAGTTGATCACTAAATAGTTGATTACATTTTCTTACTATATGGTTAAATCTTAATATATAGACTTTCCATTTCTGGAATAATTAATAATTTTTAATAATATATAGTAATATCGTAAAATCTTATTGAAAGCTTTTAAAATGATAAATTTATGAAAATCTTATTTCATCCATCAATTCCATACGAGCCTTCTCTATTCTACCTGACATTGGCGAAATAATTGTGCTATACTGGTACCTTGTCTCATTTTCAGTTCAAGTGTTAATGTGAAGAGTACATAATTACAAAGACGTGAAATAAAATATATAGTACTAATACTGAAATATGTAAATAAATATTTCTTTATGATCACTATAATAATAGGAAATGTTCTATAAGAAAATATATATTTGTTAAGGAAGTAAAGTTTTGGTTTATATATGACAGTGGAAAGTAGAGCAAGTGTTGTTGCATGTTCTTATCTCATTGATAAGAAAACACCTAGAATGTAGGTTGTGATTTAAGACGACTTCTGTGCATAACAGCTGTAATCTATCTAAATTAATATATCAGAAAATTTCACTATATTTTAGTTTACTATCAGCAACATACTAATTCTATTAAAAATAATATTTTTGTTTAAATCATAGATTAAAATTCATACATACTTATAAAGGCATTAAAAATATATTAAAAATAAAAAATAGAATAATAATATCTAAAAATAAACAATTTATCAAATTATTTGGCTTGTTGCAAAAAAGGCCTGACAAAAAGTTAATAAACTTAATGGTTGTAGGTACTATCTGCGTATGCCGAGCCGTTTATAACCAGCGGTACCTATCGTTGAGGTTCAGTAATAAGTCTGTCAATAAATCAAATTGAGCACGATTAAAAATTGTTTTTATTACTCTTAACTTGAGTAAATTTTATGCAAATAAAAATAATATTTTTCAATATTTACGCCTATTAGCTGTTTATCACTACATAATTTTATTAATGTTTTGTTTGAAAGCAGACACAGTTGGTACCCACTTATTTTTTAATAAAACAGTTAAAGCAATATTGTAATAAGCATTATTATTTGTCTTTAGGTAAAGATAATACTTTATTTCTCAAATTATCTCTAGAATTATGACTCTTTTTTCTATTGTTACCTTATCTGTGGCTTTGAAAATGTTTTCTTTTTTTGAATTGCAGAGACACTCTATTGGTGCTTTTATATACAAAAAAATCTTGATATATTTAATACATATTATTATTTAACACTGTCATTTATGTATTTACATATTTTACTTGCACCGTTATTGACAAAATACATATAAAATCCACAAATCCCATGCATATTATAAATGCGAAAGTTTGGATGGATGGATGTTTGTTACTCAATCACGTCAGAACGGCTGAACGAATCTGGATGAAATTTAGCACAAAGATAGATTATAGTCTGGAAAGCATTTAGGTTACTTTTTATCCCGGAAAAATGTACGGTTCCCTTGGGATAGATTTGTTTGTTTTTGACAGAGCAAAGGATCGACTATCTATTACATATTAACCGTTAAAACGTACCTATGGACGAGACCGAGCGAAGCGAGGGTGAGTCGCTAGTAAAACTATAAATTGTGGCATTTGGTATTAACCCATTCATTATTCTTTCTGATAAGGAATTGAAAAATATAATGTACTTGTGTGGGCCGATAGTGTGGCGTCAATGCACCGAGTGCATTGTACTCGACGAATGATGCATTCATATGTCTACGAGAAAGAAGGTCATTGGCTGTGCTGTGTTTGCGCTTACATAACTCGTGTTTATTTAAGATTGTAGGACTAATGCAAACTGTAACAAGTAACAAAACTGGTTTTATTATAAATAAATGTTCACAGCATTGTGTAGTTCTCCTTATTAATCAGTTAAAATTTTGGGAAATTTATCAGCTTTTTCCATTCTATTCAGATTACAATAATTTTATATTGAAAATATTAATTTTATTAGAGACTTCCTTCAATAATTGTTTACTTCCAACCTGCCGAAGCTAGCGAGTAAACAAACGTGATGTAATGTGAAGTCGCTACCGACAGCATAGCGGCGCAAAACAAACACTATTTGAGTTTTCATAAGCTTCTTTCTCAGAAAGCAACGTCCTTGCGATAATCTCAGCTTAGAGATATGACTCAGTCGTTACTGAAGCGGTCGGCAACTGTTGAATTATTCTTAACACTGGATTATTTTTGAAGTGTTTCATAGGAAAGAAATATTACTATTGGTTGTTATGCTTTTAAACTATTACCGAGTAGTGCTGCATAAACACATGTACGCAAGGAAAGCATGTAAGATTCTTGTTTAAAATGAAAGCAGACGGTAATTGAGATTGTCGTGGGTTGCGATACTGTTGCAATGTTTTAATGATCCGTTTTACGAGAGACCCCACGACGTAATTGTGACCTCACTATTACAATGTATGCATTATGCACATGCAAATATCGCCCATTGTTAAAGTAAAATGCGACCGAAGTGGTAATATTTTAAGAAATGCGACAACGTTTGTTGGAACATTCTGCTACTTCCAGGTATTTTATAGTTATTTACAAAAGTATATGTCATTAAACCGGAAGCTTGACTTACGTAAATATAATTAAGTAAATATTTCACATATGCAAAGTAGTAAGAGAAGTAATTTTTAGAAATTTAGGCAGCGTTAATTAGAAGTTCAAACAAAATATACACATCGACTTTTGAAAATGTCGTATCTTAATTGCTTAGTTAATCAGGAAACTACTTATTATGAATGCAACCTCATGTAATAAATATGTGTATGCTATCAAGGGCTATTACTAAACTAAGATTAAATCTCGTGTCTCTAAAATGTTAACGCAGATAATAAAAGATTTATGTTCCGTTAAAACGTGATGCAAGTTCTAAATAGTAGGTTCTACTAATGCATTTAAATTAAACTTAATGGATAACATTTAAATAGTGTTAGCTTAATCTCGCTACGATTGGCTTAACCGAGTGTTTCATTTATTTATACGAATACCATTTCGGATTGTTTCTATCCAAATTGAAAGCGAAATAATTTTAAGATTAACGAGATAGGTTTTGGTTGTTAGCCTAGTCTAATTTATATTTAGATTTCGTGGATATAAATTTCAAGAAACATAGGTTATATAATTACTGTTATTTTTAGATATTAGTGTGTATTTAAAGTTTTTGCAGTCATTTTAATTATTTTTTTACAACCTTATTTAATTATCATGGCATTTCCGTGCTACATACTTTCAACTGCTTGTAACTCGTGTTGTTTTATTAAATTAAACAAAGCACAAACAGATCTGTCCCCAGGGAACTGTTCATTTTTCCGGGATAAAAAGTTATCTGTCGTTTGACCGTCAATATAAGGTATCAACATGCCAAATTTTACTAAATTAGGTGCATAAGTTATAAGGTACTACCATGCAAAATTTCATTTAAATCGGTCCAACAGTTTCGGAGATTAACCCGTACAAACAGATTAACAGATAGAGAAACAAAAAAATTAAAATAATCTGGATTTGTTCTATTTCCTTTCTTATATCCCCCTAACTCGGGTTTGAGCCTTTTTTTTCTTTGTACAGACATTCGACCGCTACAGTTTTATTATATATATAGATAATAGAAAAAATAGACTTTTCTATTATTTAGAAAATTATTTAAATCTGTTTGTTATTAAAATACTTTTTAAATATTAATATTTTTATTTTTTACTATTATCGCTTATTATGTTGCATCGAGACACGTGCAGGTGTATTTTATTCATGAATGACAATAGAGCTCAACGGCGCTAATGATATCTTCGTTCAAATGCAAATGTATACATATATGAATACATTTATAGTGTTAATGTGTTGAGGATTAAAATTACCATATTATATGTATATTGTATCTTACTTGATGAATTTAGTTTGCTTTCGATTTGAATTTTTATAACATTTGAATTTATACAATTAATATTTAAAATTTATAGAATATTTGTATAAAAAGTTACATATAGGTAATATTTTTGGTAAATAACACATGAAGTGAAATTGTCAAAATATCAATAATGCAATACAAATGTGTATTATGATTTTATTCTCTCCGTTTTCGATTCATTTGTTATTATCGCTCTGCTCTCTTCGTAGAAACAATGATATATAGAAGTAAATAAAATAGTGTTAACTGGAATAAAAATTAGTAGCCATTTATAGAGAAATACATACTTGTGTCCCAGTTCGTGTGTGATGGTGTGCGCTAGCATGATGCCGTTGTCCTCGTTGACTGAGCAGCTGCGGTCCGCCTTGCACATGCCCGCCACGTGCGCCACGCCCAGCGTACTGCAACAGTATTGCATACGTGATATCTATATCTTGACTGGTCTAATCAATTTGTAACATTCGTTACGTCTTGCAAATGTCAATAATATTAAATTATGGGAAGGACATAGGGTACTTTTTATTCCGGAAATCATCCTTTAAAGGGGTGAAAATGGGCTTGAAAGTTTTGTGTTGAGAAGCAAGCTAGAGATGAACTCGAGCGAAACGAGGGTGAATCGCTAGTACCAAATATAGCTGATAAAATATTCTTAGAATTATCCATTACAGGATAACAGGTGTAGTAAACTGTAATAGCGTACAAATTATGTTGGTAGTTGCGAAGCAGCTACAGCGTGTAAATAATTAATTACCTAAAGACCGGCTCACACTTTCACATCAATAAACAGAAGTAAAAAATATGTCGTGACGTTTAAGCATTTGTAGACAGGCACGATCAGGCGTGATGTCAACATAACAATAGAACTAGTTTACGATAAGTCGTTAGTAACTAGATATGTTACTATCCTCAGACGAGCCTCTTGTCATTGTATCACTCTATATTTATTACTCACATTAATAATGGCTTCAAAAATATATTTATTTATAAATAGTGTTATTTTTGAAATAAAAAGTATTGAATCTAACAAATAATTTTAATATTTAAATGTTTATATGTTTTAATAGTATATATTATATTTAGTCAATGTGTACGAGTTCTAAGACAGTTTAGTAGTAGTGTGGCTGGCGCAGACGCGGCCAGGAATAGGCGGCTAATAATAATATGCACGCGCGCTGACTCACACGGAAGCCAACGAAAAGCTCTATAAATTCCTTTTAATAAATTTGTACTTTAGCACCAATGTCTGAGGATTGTGTAGGTACTTTCTATTATTTCGTTGTTGTAAATTATTTTAATACAAAGTCAAAACATATATTAATAAATGGAAAAGTAATTAGAACGATTGAAAATATTTAACGGATTATTTATTATAAATAAAAAAAAATGATTTAAAAAAATAAATAACGACATCGCGTTGTGCCTATTACGACACAAGTACGCGTTGATGTCTATTCTATTGAACAGGTGTGATTTTTAAAGACAAATTGGAAAACAACAAAAATTGCACATAATTATCATTTTGTCAATACTGATAATAATTTATGTTGCTCACCTTCATATTTAGACGCCAATAATTTGCAATACCATATATGAGTAATCAAATACAATTTTCGAGATGCAATCATAATAATTACATTTTAATGATTTAAGTTTTTGATGAAAAGCTTCCTTTTGTGTTTTGTACATTATGTAAGTTAACACAAATTTGTTCAGCTCGCAGGTGGTCGCTGTGTGAATTAGCTTAATAGCGTTTCGAAATATAAATAAGTTATACGCGGTGGCTTTCAGTGTTAAGTTTTAATTAAGCGCGAACTCAACGTGACGCCGCGTAGGGAGAGTGCAGGCTCGTTCATACCTACAACATGAGCTATATTGATTTGTATGTTATATAAATATTTGATAAATGTTGATAACCAATGAGTGTACGCGATGATATCATCATCTCTTACCTATTATGAAATACTATTTTAAAATAAATAAATCTTGACTTGCGGGTGTAAGCTATATCGATATATATTAGTTAGGGTACTAGTATTCATCCTAAATGGATTCAAATAATTACAACGTTAAACGTGGTTCTAATATTAGAAGTTATATGCTAGAAAGACTTTTTAACATAAAATTAAATTTGTAATAACTTACAGCTGTTGCCATTTTCACAATATAATAATTATTTATGACCAAGTGATTCATTTGAGTGCAATGTTATTTATAATATAGTGTATAGATTTTAAATAAAATTAAATACATTAAATTATAAAGATTATTAGAAAGCTATTTATTATGATATAGGGATTTCTTTAATAATATCCAATAAAAATGCTGGACGTACTTCGATGCATTGAAGCAATTATTTTTGTTTCCAAAATCAGATAACACTCTCGTGAACAATATATTACCTTTGAAACTGCGAACGGGCAAGTGAGCGCACGCATCGTGTGCAATTTTCTTAGGATAAAATCATTCGTATTGTGTCGCTCAGGCGATTAAAAGAATACGTACATTCACTTTATTCGATCGTTATTGTAAAAAAGAATCCTTTATGTTCAAATATACATGGTTTTTTCATGTCTTTCCTGATTTTTTTTAAATTTAATATAGCATTCTCCATAGGTACAGTATTAGAGTTATCCAGGAATACACTAGTACCGATTATAACGTAGATATAAAATAATTTTAGCTATATGCTATTCTGTTATATACGTGTTATTTATAAGTAAATGAACAACTAATTTAACATTTATCTAATTTTATAAGGTCATATAGGTTTATGTAAAGAGCTTCATCGAGAATTTAACTCAGAGGTGAGATAAGTGGGCGACACGCAGACTGCGCGGCGTCACCACTCGCAGCATACAGTTCGTAACAACTCTATATTATTGCTTTTATGTAAGTAAATATAACATTAAGTTTAATATTTTTTTAATTATATGTTTTTATATAATATTATCCAATATGTTTATTAAAATATTTTAGCCAAAAAACATAATTTGTTCAACAATAATATTACCATTCATGTAAAAAGCAAAATGTAGGTAAACATATTTTTTTATGTCATTGATGCATAATGCATTGAATGAAATATTGGGATTCTGACAGCCGCCCAGGGGTTCGACACCGTTACAAACAGACTCATTGTCTTTTGATTGCCGTTTTCTGAGAACACTCGACTACTCGTTTGTACCGTTTACCGAACACATTGGGCTTCTTTATTGCATTCATTACACTCGTTTTTCGGTAAGTTACGTGACCTGTATAGAAATCGTAGCGTGAAAAGATACTATTTTATATTATATAACTTAAAACTATTTTTTTACTATTAATAATGTTATTAAAAATAAAATATTATGCACCATGTGTTAGTTCATAATTAATCATGAGGGTCAGATATGTCTGCTTCCTATCAGCCACCACTTTTACAGGTTTGTGGATATTCATATGTACAACACACTATAAATAATTCAATGGCGCTAACATTATCGTCTGCAGCTTATCTGGCTGAAGTGTTTTACAGGAAATTAGGTGGCAGACAGGCGGCGTTGTGCAATGTATAAAACTTAACATGAACGAAACGAAAACCACTCGTATTATGTAATACTATGCTTGCTTATAGGCTTTTGTTAAAATTATGAATGCCCATTTTGTATATAGTCGACATCCTTGGCCTTAATGTCGGCACTTTGAAGTGACCGCTGACCGCGACCGGAGCTGTTAGCTATTTACAAACACCCGCAAAAAATATAATACTATACATTAATGGAAGCCTTGCGTACTTGAATGAATATTTTGGCAGCCAAAAAACAGATTGTATAAATTAATGATAAAATATACTTAATTGCGTATAAAATATTTCGATGGGATTCTTTGTAACCTTGATTAATTTGTGGAAGCTCTGTGCAAATGGCGAGACGGTTTAATGAATAAAAAATTTAATTATAGTATTCTTTTTCCTCTATTTTTTTACAGCTATTTTTTTACTATTATCTTGCCATTTAAACAATATTACATGGAGATATTAAAAGTATTAAAAAGTATAGAGAAGAACCTATGGACATATGTTTTGATAACAGGTGGATATCAACACAAATGATAGTAATGCTTGTGTTTATTAAATAATAATAATAATTATAAATAAACGAATAATTTGATATATTATGTATAAGGTACATAATGAATTAGGTTGGGTTATAAGTTTAATTTTATTTTTTAACTATCAGTAGTACCAATCGAAATATTACTTGTTACACATATTCGTGAACGTTTTTCGTTCAAGAAAATCAATCAATATATTTGATAAAGATGTAGTAAAATAAAAAGTAGTAAAAAAGGGTATGTATTGGGACGATAACATCGTTTTTTAGATTACTGCCTGTACGTTTCTGCCGCGTTTGAATGATTTTAAGTCTTTTTTACACAAATATTGAAAATTTTCAATTTTTTTAATTAAATATTACAAGGAATTTATTTTACGAGTAAGTAAGCATTATTCCATGAAAAAAATATATATAGAGAAAGCCAAATAAATCCATTCTTTTCGGTATACACATTATAACTTATTGATATCAAAGTAATGTATGTACCTGTATATAATAGCATGTATCGATGTAAAGTGCCTATGACCATTACTTGCTATGTTAAGGTATATTACCTAGTAGAAGATCGCTCGTTATATGAGTTTTCTATTTTTATATTAGTTACTCACAGCACCACTCTATTTACTCACTAACAGACACCCGCGTCTGCCTTTGACCTTGTCTCGAGAGATTGTATAAAAATATTGCAAATATCAATTAGGAAGGTTTGGCTACCTCTCAATAGTATGTCGAAAGGGTATAATTAAATTAACAAATAATTTAATTTATTAATGTATTTACATTTCTTTCACATGTTTATAGAAAATTGTAGCGCCTTTTACAATAATTTTATTCAATTTGTTAGTTTTGTTGACATTTAAATAAAGTCCACCCACTTATCGTATTTGCTAAGATTAATGCATCCCACCTAAACATCGGTGTAGTTTGACATTAATCGCGTCGTGGGCTGACTGATAGAGCCGTAACCAGCACACTATACGTTTAGTTTATAGAATTACCTATAAAATGATCCTATACGTGTCGTAGGCGGGATAATTCTTTACGATATCAATTTTCTAAATGTTGCAACACGTGTCCCACTGTTTGGAATTTCTAATTTGTTTACTTTAAAAAGTTTTTTTTGGAGTTTCGGAACCTTTAAAAAATTAATTAAATATTTAAAAAAAATGATTTCATACCTACAAGGCGTGTCGTGTTGACTGCAGATATCTTGCCTGGTGACTAAAATAGCCACATCATGGTGATGAGGATCATCATCATCATTAGGATTTAGCTGATGCTGCCAGCGACAGAATGATGCGAGAGTGTAGTCTGCGTTCGTAGTCACCTGCAGATCGGGCGCCGCCTGTATTTCCTCTACGAGAATAATCTTCACCACCACTACTTTTATATAATTTCCTATTGATGGATCCATATATAAAGAGGATACCTAAAAAGAACCAAATAAACAAATTTTATGATTTGTAAACGATATCACAATCTGCTATATATAGAGAAGGTACTATCAAAATGTAGGTGTAGAGTAATTTATCTAATAACAAGTGTTGTTCATGCGCCAAATACACATAATACTTACAAAGATATTATTTATTATTATTATCTGCTTTTTATCAAAACAAAAATAGATAAAGATCGATATGTTCTATAAATATTTAGTTTCGATGCTTACCATGTTCATAATTGTGAGAAGATAAGTCTCCAAGTTGCCTTGATTGTGGAAATCGGTCATAGACTTATCGGCGACAAGTAGCACTTCAACGTGTCGTGGTTTGCTCACAGAACGTATCGAGCGCCTAAAAGATTCGTTATTGCGCCTGTTTCCATATTTCCTTTGAGAACGATTATTTTTCTGAAAACATAATATTATGTATTACTTTGTACAACAGTATGGATAAAAAAGAATATTTTTTTAGAATATTAATTGGATATTACCTTGGTATATCTAGATTTATTTTGCGATTCAACATCATGATTATTTTTAAAATTTCTGGATTTCCACTGATATGCAGGTTCTTTCGTGGCACAGTTCTTTGATCGTTTTCTTCTTCTTCTTGTCCTGATACGTCTCGGCCTCTGTTCGTATCTTGATTTTTGTGCCGTTTTATTTTTATGTGAAAATTGTTCCAAGGAATTACTGTTCTCTAATGAGGTCTTTGATGCTGAGGATAATGCTAATCTTCTTTGTTCCATTCGTAACTTCGACTGATGCCTTCTATATGCAACAGGATCTTGCCTCAGAGCTTCCAATCTTTTTCTTCTCTTTTCTATATACGCACGTCTGCGTTGATCCATAGTCTCTTTTTGACTTCTTACATTTCGTTTGGAATCGTTTTCTAAATTATTTTTGTCGTTATAGTTTTGATTCATATTGATATATGAATTCGTTCTACTGTTTACTTCTCTCTTTCGTCTATGGAATGCCTGAACTTTGTCAACAGCAGATCTCTTAAAAATTACATGTGGTCGTCCAGAAGAGTCATCGGTGGGTATATTGTTTGAAGGCTCTATCCAATATTCTCCTTGCTCCGTTCTTAAAAGACCTGCCTATAAAATATTCTCAATCAGTATTCTTCGGACATTTAGCCGAATTAATAGTTTTATTGACCCTGGCTACATTATACTCATATATTTTAAAATTTACTAGTGTGAGAATTTTGCTATAATAATATTGATCGATCGATTTTGTTGAAATCCTACTTGATGTATTATTCTATATCTTGATGTATTTAATCCTAATTGATGTATTATTACTAAAAACGTTTTATTATAAAGTCCTTTAGTGATTCACTTTTTATAATGTAGTATTAGCAAAATCAAAAGTTTCTAAATACCGAATCGTCTGTTGAATGTCAGACCGGTTTAGAAGGCAGTGGGTCAACAAATCTCGTGTCTGTTTGCTAGTAACGTTAGATAAATTGATTGATAAAGAGGCCGACGCAGTTTTGCGCAAAATTTAATAGAAACTATTCTATTGGTATCAGATGGGATGATATTTTATGCCGGTTTTGTGATCTTGGTAGATTGATTAATGATTTATTCATGATAAGCAGCAAATAGAAAACAAACTAGATCATGTACAAAGATTACAATCGCTCGTTAGATTTCTGTAGGTAGGTATACATATGTATATTATGAAAATTATTAAGGTATGACATGTAAAAATGTTTCGGTCACAGGTTTCCATCTTTATATGATTCACTTATATATTATTTTCAATTAAATGTTTATATAATTCTTATATTTAGGTAATTATGGAATTAAAGACAAAATTAGTCACTGATGTGTTCTTTTGTAACTCGGTTGGATATGCTTAATTCTTTTTTTTTTAAATTGTAAATAGGTACATACATAATTCAAATAAATCAAATTATCAACATATTAACTGCACCATTTAATGTACGAGTATACTGTTGTATTGAGATAATTTAAACCCTCCACGACCGCGGACACGCCGGCGTTACAGTTAACAAGAGATTTCTTATAAATTTAATATTTTTTTTAGAAATTTATCTGGAGGTGTTAACTGTGTAGATATTCATATGACAAGTGGTAACGAGCACTTTGCAAGTTACGAGTACGTATCTTAACGAGTCGTAATCACATAAATTGCATAAGGAGAAGAATGAAAATATTATTGAGTAACCAGTATTAGGAATAGCGTAATCATTTGTAAGCAAAATTATATGCTGGTACAATCTACCGCTCTCATCTACGTTGTTATTAAGTTGAGCGACCGGCCACTCGACCAGCCTGTATGTCGCCGGCCTTGTGGCTGGAAGGCCGCGAAAGTCGATCATTGCAAAGCAACTTATTCATTATTCATTCTTTTATTTTTGTTAGAAATCCCACATCTATGAAGTCAATATATGTGTATACATATTACATACATACCGAAACGTACTAAAGAGGCTCTAAATTTTTTAGGTATTATTAGACAGAGTGGTTTTATTTGAGTTTTATTTAAATCTATACATATAATAAAATTCTGAGTCAAATCTATACAATGAATATTTTTTGGAAAATCTTATTGAAATAATACTTTCTTAGATTTACGCGAATGTTTGACATTATTAAATAAAACTATCTTTTCGGATTTATCTTATTGAAATAGTCATTATTATCGACACAGAGGCCGAATTTATAGTTTTTAGAATTTTCGTCTGTCTGTCTGGGAACGCATCACGAGTAAACCACCGGACAGATTTTGATGAAATTTGGTATGATGATAGCTAGATAGATAGGTTATTCGTGTCAACATAGGATATATTTACTGCGGGAAAATATCTCATCTCTGAGAAACCTATACTAACCGTTAAAACGTATATAGGGACGAACCCGAGCGGAGCGAGGGTGAGCCACTAGTTATTGTTATAAATTTATTTAAATTATAGTTTAAAAGAATTATTTTTTTAACTAAATTATATTTATTCTAGCAAATTACATTTATTTTTGACAAAACACATGTTTTTACATAAAATATGCGTAGATACACGTGAGCCCATAAACATAATATAACTGATCATTTAGAAACACAGATATGAAATAAAATTTAAAGAGGTATACACGCTAAAAGCTTTTAAATATTAAAAAAATATATAAAAAAATGTATAATAAACTTTATGAGATATCTACATTTTTGCGTACAATATTTTTTATAGACGCTTTTGTTTGTAAGGTGCGGAAAGAAAATTCGTTATTTTATCATTTGTATGAGCACAGTAGCACTAATATCTATTTCATATACGAGTACTTCAAATTCATTGTTTATATTAGAAGTGAGAGTTGATATTAAACAAAACTACTTGAGCGTCGTTGTCGGTTAAGTGATAGTGAAGTGTCGTGGATCATTTGTCCTATTTTTTACTTTTAAATATTTAAATATAATATCGCATGAAAACAACTAAAAAGATACTAATCTTTAATTTTTTGTTTTTTTTTTTTATAATATAAGCGAGCAAACGAGCAGGCGGGTCTCCTGATGTTAAGAGATTACCGCCGCCCATGAACATTTGTAGCACCAGAGGCACCACTAATGCGTTGCCGGCTTTTCAGGACTTCATTGGTCCGCCCCTTGAATAACCCCATGTTGTAGTCAAGCGGGAACACAGTCGATGGGAGTTGGTTCCACTTTAATAATGTAAATGAACCAAAGTAAAAAATATTTTCGTTTATCTATTATGCCTTATGAATTTAAATAATGGTATATAATATATATAATTATAAAAAAAGTAATTCATGTTAATTCACTTTTGTTTTAAATATAATTTCGTAGCAAAGTCGCTATCATGCGGTAGATCATATAAACAGGTTCCGAACACCTCATATATTATCATAAAAAACATTAAAGCCACAGATAATGGCTGTTCGTACCTTTTTCGTCGAATAATTTTAGATTCATTTTATTAAATTACGTTTAAAACGATTAATTGCTATTTTATCTTGGTAACAAAATATTTTAAGTTATGTATAATTTTTTTACTTTTATTTTCGTAATTATTCAATGTTTTAGTAAGTAATGCCTATACATTGAAAACATGTTAATTAGTCCGCGAAGTAAAAAAATGATTTTTAAGATCAGATATGCGAAAGTGAATGTGAAACTTTGTTAAAACCTTCCATGATTAATCGTATAAGATAAAAGTCGGGATGAGTCGTCGTTACATTTCTATGAAAGAAGATAGTTTGATATAAAATAATTTATTCGAATTTACTGTTATCTATATTGCATGCTTACAAATACTATATATAATATTGTGGGTTGATTAAGAAAGACAGGTAATTATGGACCAATTAAGTTTCATTTATAAGTTAAATTGAATGCAAAATTATGAGTCGCGAAACGTATGAATGCTTTAAATAATATTAAATCGGAGTCTACCAAGTTTGTTCAAATTTAAATTATCTTTAAACTACTTACTTTATTTAATTTAATAGTAAACTAAAATTAATACATTATAACAAATGTTTATTTAATATTGATTAGTATAATACAAATATATCATCCACTTAGATTGTTTAATGAAGCATTTTAAGAGCTTTAATACATAGTTAGGTGTAGGTAAAAGGAACTATCTATAATTAAGTCTATATCATTTATATATAACCGCTTTAGAATATTATTATGATTTACAACCCACATGCTCATAATTTTTGATCATAAAACAACAAAAAATCTTATCATGATTACGTTTAACGCACGACTGAAAGGTATCAAAAAACAAAGAAGATGTCGGTATGTATAATGCGGTATGTAATATAAAAATGTTGCCATACAAAGCTGAGTTGCGGCAGATATAGAAAAATAGGCTTCGTTAGCTTGTCGAGCGATAAAACAATCTTTAAGTATTTTTATTTTCGATTTGTATCAATGCTAAAGAGCTTTTTTAAATATGAATTGCTAGATATGTAGAAATATAGCAACTAATGCTAATTAAAAAAAACTAAAAAGACAGCAAACGTTTCAAATTTGTTATTAATTATGTTATATTAAGGAAGTTTCCGTATTTCATTTAACAAAACATTGAATCCATATTTCCGTGATCAGATAACGCGTTATGCGGAATATACAACGAAATATGCTATAACTATATAACTGCTTTACATCTACGCATTATGAAGCTCATTAGGAAACAAAAAAGCTTTACAAAAAATATTAAAAGCATGTTTAAATTCAACATGAGCATCTTAAAGGTAATTTCGGCTTTGAAACAAAAGGTTTAATTTTAATTGAACCCATAAAGAAGCGGGACTTATCATAATAAACAGATGCACTAATTGAAATATCATAGCTGCAATGTAGAGTTCAACTTCTTATTTTATTTATTGTATATAAAAACTGATAAATTAAAATAACTTAGCGAAGTAGTAGATATAAACGGATATTTTTTTATTTGATTTTCAAAATGCAATCAACAAGGACCGCACGCACGGAGCACTGTAGGGCCGGTTTAGAAACGTTGGTATTTTTGTAGCAATTGGCATCTTTACAAGATTAATGGAGAGGTATACCGATTCTTCGATTACTCAGAACGACTCTACAATAAAATAAAGGCCACAATTTATTTGAAAGTGTAAATTATCTATAGTGATTAATTTTCAACGACTTCGACGTGTTCAATTTTAATTTAATAAACATATTTCTTATAGTGTATATCTAGATATTAAACGATGTATCACGTACATATAAATGATCTGATTTAATAATAAAGTAAATTATTATTATAATAATATGATAAGTATATTACATGAACTTAAAAAAAATACTTACAAGTCCATCGCAAGCAGATATAGCAATTTTAGAGTTTGGTTGCCCCCTAATAGAGCCCGTGTAATGGCACGAGGTGGCCGACTCCTGCGGCCGGTCGCGCGTGCGCCCGCGCACGCCGTGCCTCTCCACCACCATCGACGGTGGAATAAATGTCACTGACGGCCTGTGAAATTAAAATTTTATTCATATTTCTGCTGAATAACACTTTTATATATAAAAGAATATACAATTATTATAATTTAATATATTTAATATTATTGCTTAGAAATAATTATCTTCGTTACCGAATTGGAACCTGATATCTATTAATGAAAACTTTAACTTAAACTTAACTTTATAATAAAACATTTTCAAATTACCTAGGAATTTTACATATCATCATTAAAATGTTGTCTGCGTGTATATCACCCTTGAAAAGAAGTTTCTTATAGGATTGTACAGGATAGCAGTCCGGGAAGTTCCAAGTTGAGAGCATGCAAGTGTAAAATTCTATCATGCGCTACACAATGGGAACATGTACCGTAAATACGACGAGAAAATACCATAGTGACAACACAATAAAGGAGTATTTATTATAAACTGTAAGTTCGTTAGCCGCTCAGCCGGACCTCAGTGTGATATCCAAACTTTAACTATACAATGTAAAAATATATAATTTCTATATTATATTTTGTATCACATCATCTAAATAGTATGCCGTATCTAGACAAAAAAATATGATTACTGATATAAAATATAGGCTATATTGCTTTTGGTTACTATAAAAAGGAAAGTGTTAATTTAGGTTTCAAATCAATCAATTGACGAAGCAAATATTTCCTCTGTCTAAAATTAGTACCGATCTACACATAATATAATAAAATTGTAAGTAAACCTAATCTATACATTACATATTTTTTGATAATCTTATTGAAATAGACATTATTATCGATACAGAGGCCGAATCTATAGTTTTCAGAATTTTTGTCTGTCTGTCTGTGACCGCATCACAAAACACCACAGAAGGGATTTTGATGAAATTTAACATGATGATAGCTGGTTATCCGGGTCAACATATAGGATACTTTTTATTGCGGAAAAATATCTCATCTCTGAGAAATCTACGCTCAACGTTAAAATATAACTAAGTAGGGGTGAACCCGAGCGGAGCGAGGGTGAGCCACTTGTTAATTTAATAATATCTAATAATATTAATTGTGCGTCAAAAATTTAAATGAATTAGTTCACATAAACTGATTTTCATCAACTACAAAACCTATATCGAGATATTCAGTAATGCGTCAATAACTTCATATTATGTTGATGTTATTATACTTATGTAGTTATTGAAAATAAATCTTTCAGAAAGATCATAGCAGAGTTTGGCTGACGCAAGGCAAAGCACCACAGTAATTGAATACTATTGTACATGTACTAAAATCATAAATTTGTTATTGTTGGATATAAACATAATTTGTGTGATATTTATGTGTAATATTTAAACGTAATAAATAGATAGAAAGTAAGACTGTCGCATGTTTATCGAGACTTAAAACTTGCAAGACATTTACATATTCTATGTAAGAAAGTAATTGCGATTATAATTATAAAAAAATTTAACATATTAATTATTTTGAAAATTAATATCATGACTTTGGAATAACGGACAGATAGATGCATAGCAAAAACTTTCATAAATGCATGTGAGCTAAGTAAAAAACTCAACGAATAATTTAGAGAGAGAATTTTATTATCTTGTTCAGTTACTTAGAATTGCTTAGTTTTACGAGCAAAATAAATATTTTAACATGAGTTAACGTATAAAATACTCAATTAGTATTTATATATAATTGAATTTCAAAGTTAGAAAGTTCTACGTGTTTCAAATTAAAAGTTTCGACCGATTTTTGAGTGAAGCATACATATAATATTTGCTTAATAGCTGCTATATAGAATTTTATTACTGAAATAAAAGCCCGTTTCATTAATTGTTGCTTTAACAATTCTATTATTTCCAATATTCGAGGTTTCTAATACGATAATTATTTGAGAACAAAATTTAGCGGAACAAATTTAAAAATAGTAGAATGTCTATCATAACTTCATTATAAATTATAACAATTTTCAAGTGTTTGTTATTTGTTTAGTCTCACGTCCATTTAGGTAGGTATAAAAAGTGTTGTAAAGTTAATAAGTAAATTATCCAAAAATATGTAATGAATACAAAATATCACGGAATACTATATAAGTGGTATATTACAGTGAGTTATTTTATAATACGCTTTAATTATCTACAACCGTCTCTTTATTTCAGTAAGGTGTGTAATTATTGCCATATTTGGTAGAATATCAACTTTCACTCCTTTAATATAATTTTCTTATAACTTACATAAAAGCAGAAAATTTAGGAGCTTTTGTATCATAAGTACATGCCAATCAAGCCACGAGAACGATGAAACATCGAATGTCCTTTGATATATAAATATCAAAAAAATAAAGATCGAGTTTATTTTTCACATAAAATCTCATAAGTAATTGTACAATTATAACTAAATTACACTAAAAGTAGTTTAATTTATGAAATGACTATGATACAGCTATTATATTACCGGATATTTTACGCAGATAGCAATCTATTTAAATATTGATAAAGTTAACAGTTAAGACATTAAAATGCATGTCGCATATTAGGTTTGTTTTGTATTACTCGTCGAACACATAGCCTTGGGGACGGAAGGTGAGCTGTCGATCGGCAAGCAAACAGCTCGAGTGGCGACTGAACACACAGATAAGACTCATTACGGCAATTAGTAGAAGCAAATATGGCCGCCCCAAATACACGTCTGCGGAGGGCGACAGCTGCAAAGTGGTCACAAGATATCCGCTCTACCACTTTGAACGCTCCAGCTGAGCTCGATACCACAGCTCGTTTTGGGTCCTTTCATCATTGTTCTATAAATTAGTGCCTTTTATTAAAGACATTTGAATTTAAAATTAATGTTTATGGCAGACGTCCAGATCAACCACGTCCTACAATTGCGTTGTGAGAACATAGGACGGCTTCACTGTGGTTGAGTAAAACGAAATTATTATTTTTATGTTCTAATATTATTTTGAATCTGATGTGTAAAATGTGCCACTTTTGAGCTAACTTAAGTTATCTTACCGGTGTTATGTTTTATTTAATAGACAATAAATATTTTATTTGGGTTCTAAATGATAGACAAGCGGGTTTTCAAACTCAATTGATGTTAATGTATTGAGTTTAACCAATGCAACTATGTAAATAATACTATGTTAAACCTTTAAAATATAATACGTATTATTTATAATATAACAATATTTTAATAATTTAATTACACGAGAAGAAATTTATAAAATAATAAATATAGAATAATAATTTTTGGAAAAGGAAAGTCTACTTACTTTAACTATCTACTATACAATAAAATTCTGAGTCGAATCTGTACATTAAATATTTTTTTGAAAATCTTATTCAGAATTTTTGTCTGTCTGTCTGGGAACGCATCACAAGAAAACCACTAATAAAAATGTAAAGAGAAATGAGTCGCTAGTTATAATATAAATGTTTTTAAAAAGTGAACAAATGTTATTTAATTTTTTCTATGATATGCAGTAAAATATATGTATTATCAATTATCCAGATACAAGTATTCATTTCCTTTTAATATTCGTTCAAGAATCAGTATATTTTATTGAGCTTCAGTGTCAAATACGTTGTTATGATCCTTCATTATATTGAGTATGCTATAGTAGTGTGAAATAAATCCCTCAGGCGCTGCAGTTACGACACCCTGCTGCGTGAATCCTTTATTTTATTAGTATTTTACGAGGCCTTTGCACTTAGACCTTGTCATACACTTAAATTGAAAGTAAAGTCTCTCACAGCCATAATTCATTTTAAAATAGCATGTCATCTATTATCAATGAGCACTCTACATTAAAGGTGGTAGAGTGCTCTTTCCATAATAATTTAAAGTATCAGTAAAAATATCAGTCATTCTCTCTTTAATTAACTCAACCAAGAATATAGTTTGACTAAATTATCATATGTTACTTGTATCAAACAGTATTTAGTGATTTAGTGTATCACAAACCAGACCAAGGCCGCTGAAATTATAAATATGTCAATTTGTTCAGAAATGATACACAAATTGACTACGTATCAAATGTTTTATGTAGTAACAGTAAGTAGGTCTAGTACAGTTTGTACAGCAATTAGAAATAATCAAATATGTAGCTATTATTTGTTAATAAAATTTTAGTATTAGAATAAAATTTGATATAGTGGTTATTATTGTTATGTGACTTATTTTAAGTATGCCGGCTTGGCACCACTCGGCTGTCGGCAAATTATCCGCCTGACGCAGGCGCGTAGAGCCCGGCCGGTGTTGCCAATGAGTAAATTTATTATCGATGGCGCCAATTTGTCCACCATTAGCTTACAACGATTAATGCATTTCAGAATTCTCGCTTTGAAACTCTTAACCGCATTCCATATAAAGAGCAATCTGACAAAAAATCAATTTAATATTTATGGTTTCACGCCTCCCTCTTCTTCCAAGTATTCTCAGCATTTACACTATACCTACTTAAACTTTTATACGTACCTATAGATTGACATTGTGTAATATTATATATTTTTAAGCTCTATATTTTTAATGTTTTAATGGCTAATATTTAATAATATAAGCCTAATAAGGAAAAATCGGAAATGCATCGCATATAAAATTTCTTATTTAGATATAAAAAAACCTGTATACTTTGTTCATTGTTCTTTGATATCTTATATAATGTATGTAGATTGTACAAACATATTTTTAAAGACTTTCTGATGTATACTTGGAAAATTAAGAGCAGAATATTACATTATTAAAAAACAAAAAAAGTTACATATCAAACATAATTGTATATTGCCTGTAGTATCATTACAATACACGGTTATGTACTGCATATATTATAAGCGTAAAAAATAAGGAAATAAGCTTTTAAATTAAAGTAATTACTGCAATACAATGGACGAATAATCATAATGGCTCATTGCACAATTTTGTGGCACAAGCTTATTGTATATCCATAATTGTAGTATAAATATGTATGAATTGATGATCTTCGAACACCATACGAGGCCGTTCATACTATCAAGTTTTTGTTGCTTCGCCA